GCGACGGGCCGCGGCGTGGAGTCCGACGGCAGCCGGCGGGCAGCGGCGGAACCAATCGGAGCGCGGGGGGCCGCCTCGGAGCCAATAGGAGAATGGGGGGCCGTCTCGGGGCCAATCGGAGCGCGGGGGGCTTCGGCGCGGCCGGCGGTGGCCCACAGCCCCGCGGAACCAATCAGAGGCCGCGGTACCTCAGCGGCGGTGGTGGCGGTGGTGGCCGGAGCGGTGGCGGGCGGCGGGGTTTGATCTCCTGCTGGTGAAGCGGGCACCAGGCCCGGGCCTCCACCGCCGCAGTAGAGGTTGAAGCCGATGACGGCGTTCCGCTTGACCGCAAACATGGCGCCCGACCAGCACCGGCGGCGGATGGCGCGGGAGGGCGAAGCCGGGTGTTATATAGACGCGGTGACGACGCGGGGGGGGCGGTTCCGCTTCCGGTCCGGCCCCGCGCGCGGGGGAGGGGGGGGGGGGGGGGGAGCGGCTGCTGTGCGCTGCGGGTGGCCTCAGAGGGTGGGAAGTGGAATTTTGGGGTGAAAAAGGGCCGTTTCGCTGCTGGATGTGGGGCTGACCCCCCCCTGTGCCGGCTGAGGGCGGGGAATTGAGGCGGAGTGCCGCGGAAAGGGCGGCTGAAAGGAGATCTCAGCGCTCATCGAGAGGTTTGGGATGGATAATCACAGAATTATAGGGGTTGGAAGGGACCTGTAGAGATCATCAAGTCCACCCCCCTGCCAAAGCAGGCTCCCTACGGCAGGCTGCACAAGTAGGTATCCAGATTGGTCTTGAATATCTCCAGAGGAGGACACTCCACCACCTCCCTGGGCAGCCCATTCCAGTGTTCCATCACCCTCATCGTAAATAAGTTATTTCAGATACTGCTGCGGAACTTCCTACGTTCCATTTTATGGCCAGGCAGCAAATGGGAGCCTCAGTGCCCCATAGCAGGGAGTCCTCAGTTACTAAGACCTTCCATCCCTTTTTGGTGGCACTGGTATTGATGCAGTGTCCCGAGCAGCCTTGCTCCCTGTGCTTATTTCTTCCTCTGTTCTTGATGTGTTTCTTGGGGCCTGGGTTCTGACCAGTGGGGGTCTTCTCCAAACGAATGGCTGGACATTGGGAGGGGCTGCCCGGGGAGGTGGGGGTGGAGCTCACTGCACCTGGAGGTGGTCAAGAAAGTGGTGATGAGTTCACCTGATGCATCTTTGAGGTCTTTTCCAACTTTAACGATTGTGATTCTGTGTCCATAGGGAGTTGCTGTGCATTCATCTCATTACCGGCTGAGTCCTCACCTCCACCTGTTGCTGTCACAACACTGGGCACCACGCTGAGGACACAGCACCACCAGCAGCTGCCACCCGAGGCAATGGTGCCAGACTACAGCACAGACTGGGGCCGTAAGGTTCCTTCCAACCCACTGCATGGGTTGGTGGGGCCATAAGGTTCCTTCCAACCCACTGCATGGGTTGGTGGGGCTGTAAGGTTCCTTCCGACCCACTGCATGGGTTGGTGGGGCTGTAAGGTTCCTTCCAACCCACAGCACAGGTTGGTGAGGCTGTAAGTTCCAACCAAAGCCGTTGTAGGAGTTGAGATTCTTTACCCACAGACCTCCAGCTCCATCTTCACCACTGTGAAAGTGCCAGGAGCAATGGCAAAGTGCTGGAGTGAGCTCCTGGTGCAGTTCAACCAGCTCCACACTCAATGGATTTTTGTGCCCAAAGATGGGCAGGATGCTGGAAATCAGACCTTTGAGGAATCATCCACTCTGGTTGCCCCCTAAGGAAGGGTTTCCCTGCAGGAAGGGTTGTGGTGATGCTCAGTCCAAAGGCCCAGTGTGAGTGCAGCTGTGGACCAAAGGAAAATGACATCAACCTGAGGCAACTATAGGGGCTGGACTCTGGTTTATCTTTGGAGCGTGGGCTTGCCACCAAAACCTTGAGGAGAGGGAAAGTAGAAAGCAAATGGCCCCACAGAAGGGACAAGGGAAACCCCTGAAAGCCCTGCAAAACCCATCAGGAGGTGGTGTGTGGGATGGAGGGAAATTCCAGCTGTGGAGATAAAATACCAGATGGGAAACCCCACAGAGCCCCTAAGACAGATCTTCCTCCTCCAGAGAGGCAGCGAGGACCTGGGGAGTTGCCAATGTGAAGAACTCAATGTGAAGAACTCAATGCGAAGGTGATTTTGGGGGGCCTGAAAGCACTGCAAACTCACATCTCTGTCACCATCTGGAGTGTCACCACCCACTGGCAGAGGAGGAGGCTGTGGTGACCTCAGGGTACAGCCCCATCCTGAGTGTCACCAATGCCCTTTTGCCCCAGACTGTAAAAGAACAGGGTCATGCATGAACCCCACACATCCTTTGCCCTGCTGCCTACTTCTTCAAGCAGGACCAGGCAACACCGGGGTCTGGAAGGAGAAATCTCACTCCAGAGCCTTCCCTGTGGCCTCAAGGAATGCGTCCTTGTTGGGAAACAAATTCTTGGCACTGGGAGCAATAACAGAAGCGAGCTCAGCTCGCTCCAGCAGCTCAGGGCAGCGCCCAGCACATATTTCCCCAGCAGTGCCAAGCTCTAAAGCACAAACAAACACCGGCACATACTTGGCACCCAGCTGGAACAGCATGTCCCTGTGCAAACACCCGGCTCCTGCTTTGAAGTGGGACTGAGGGGATGACGAAATGGCTGATTTGGGGTGGGGGAAAGGGGAGCAGGATGTCTGATGATAGGATGACGGGGCCGTGGGAAGGGTCGGCGCAATGCTTTGAACCCCAGTGACGCCAGCAGCTGGAGGAAGCGAAGTATGACATCAGGATTGATAACGTGGGCAATTAAAGGTTGCAGGCTCAGTGCCAGCAGCACAGCCCTGGTGAGGGGAGACATCACCACGGGGGCAGCTCTGTCGTCTGGAGGGCACCAGGAGCCCCTGGCACAGGGCATGGAAAGGAATGGAGATTTCTTCCGAAAGAGGGGAAAATCCCTCCCCCCCATGCCTCCCACGAGGTCAGCTGAGACACAACGTGGTGCTGAGGCAGGACAGGGCCCAGGACCACAGCCACTTCTGCCCTTCACACTTCTATGAAACCTCTTCGGGCTCGTGGAGCACCAAAAACACCCTTGGATACCTGGTGCTGAACTCAAGACATTTCTCCTGTTGGCTCACCCCGACCTGTCGGCCTCATCCTTGCAATGCTTACACACAGGAGCAGAGGTCAAAGGTGCAAACACCCCTAAAAAGGCAGATTCTGTCATGCAATGAATGTGGGGACACTGCTCTGCTGCTTTAGGGACAGAACAGACGTCACCCACAGCACGTTATGGTCGTTTTAGGGAACTTCTATTGCTGGTTTTCATCCTGTGTTGTCACAATCGCTTCCTCCCGCTGTGCAAACATGCCTGGCATTTCCAGCAAAGCAGGGAAGACGTGATCAGAGTCAGTTGTTCCCTTCCTGCCCCCAGTGGGCGCAGGCAGCAGCACAAGGGCAGCCCAAAGCTGCAACACCGTTTTACATTTTTCACTATTTTTCCTCTTGTTTTTCCTCCTTTTTTTTTTTTTTTTTTAAAGCATAGCACACTAGAAATGAGGACAAATGAAGATGTAAAAAATTATATATATATTTGTATATATGATTCGTATCTATTTACAATGCAGCTGGGACCAACAGCAGAGCATCCTAGCAGGCAGCGTGGGGCTGGGTGAGGAGCTGAGCATGAGGCACACTGCCTATCCCTGCCACACTCCTCAGAGCAAAGTCCATGGCTGTAGGGCCACAGCTCCTCACCCAGGGTCACTGATGAACCACTTGACAGCAGACGTGAGTGTTTGAGCACAGCCTCACTCCTTACTCAGAGCAGCAGCACAGAAGCACAATAAAGTGCAGCTCTGTGAGCGACCCGGCCAGGATCACATGTGAAGAAAGCTGTGCAGTGCATCACCCACTGCCTCCCTCCTTTGTTTTCTCCTGATCCAATACAGCTCCCCAAAACCCACACAGCCTGCTTGACCTCTACTGGGCTTAAATCTAGCCTGGACTCAGTGCTGCCCTAGCACAAACCTCAGCCCCACCAAATCCCCACACCTGGAGCTGCTTCAGCAGCACCAAGTGGGCACTGAGTGCGCCCCACTCTGCTGCAGCCACCACACTGACTTCATTGTTTGCTTTTTTTCAAGCCTGAAACAAAAAAGGCAAGAGAGAAAAGAACAAAAGAAAAAAAGATCCTCAAGCGAGGGGTGCATAACATTGCCAACACACATTTGCCTCTATAATCCTCTCACATTTACCTCTTCTTTTTCTCCTCCCTGGGGAGCCACTCTGTTCTGCTGTTCTCACAGCTCACACCTATCCCAAAACCACCAGTCCTGTGCACGACTCCAGGCTCTGAGCAGGGCCGTGTGGGGTGCAGGGATGAGCTCCAGCCACGCTCTGCAGCTCCCACCACACTCCATTCACAGCTTCAGGCATCCTTGGCAGAGAGGACAGAGCAGGAGGACAGAAACTGCCTGCAAAGCCTCCAAGGCTGCTGCTTCCATTGCAGCCACACTCCCAACTCAACCACTTAATTAAGAACTCTTAACACACACACCTAACTTAGACTGCAGGCCACGTATCAGCTTTTGCCACTTCCCCCTCTGCGTCTTCCCTTTCAGACACCTGAAGAACACAACATGATGACACCACACAACTCCTCTCAGTGCTCCTCACTTCCCTCAGGGCCACTGCACTGCAGGGAGGGATGCAGCACTGCAGTGACTGCGAGCAGGGATGGTTCTGAGCAGTGTGAGAGTTAAGGCAGCAAACCTGCTTGCAAAAAGCAAATATGCAACCAAATCCACCAAAGATCTGCCTGCGTGGCCTGGGCTACCAACATCTCACCTTCTTCTTGGTTGTGGTGTGTGTTTGCTATAAATACTCGTATAACTATGTGGATTCTGGTGCTCCCAGCTCTATGGTACAGTGAAGTTCAATCCAATTAACCAAAAGAAAAAAGAAAACAGGAAAAAAAACAGCCCATGAGTGCGGGCTACCCTGCCAGTTTGCTGGCGACGAGTGAGGATTTTCTCTGCGGGAGGTCCTGAGGTTTGGGGATGTGGTCTCCTGTCACCAGGTTCTTGTCCGGCCCCGCAGTCGGCAGCTGTTTGTTCTTCATCTTTGCCTTGGCCATGTTGTAGTCACCAGAATCAAAGTATTTTTGCTGAAAGAGAAAAAGGACTTCAGGTTACTCTGAAGCACCCTGGGATGGCCGAGCTGCACACACCAGACTACAAACACACACCTTTAAGAAGCTGTGACACCCAAAACTTATCACCGAAACAACACGCAAGGGGAAAGTCCAAGGCAGCTGTAGGGCCTTTATTTAGCAGCTCCCCACAACGCCCAGCACGGCTCAGGTGTCTCTCCCCAGCCAGCAGCCTACATCCCCATCCCCTCTCCTTCCACTACTTGAGGGGAGCTTATAAACACATGGGAGAGCGACTTCTTACACACGCAGACAGTAACAGGGCAAGAGGGAATGGCTTTAAGCTAAACAAGGGGAGATTTAGGTCAGATATGAAGTGGAAATTCTTTACCTAGAGGCGGTGCAGTGCTGGCACTGCTGCCCACAGAAGAGTGGGTCCCCCATGCTCCACAGCCTGAGCTGATGAGGGGGGTGAGGGGGGCACACAGCCCACAGTAGGACTGAAGCTGGGGGTCCCTTCCAACCCATTCTATGATTCTGTGATTCTAACAGTGACCGTGGGGCAGACGCTGCGTCAGCAGCCTCCTCCAGACAGCCTCAGCTACAGCAGCACAGCTGGGGGACATTTGCTGATTTAGTTTATTCCAAACAGATGAGCCTGTAGGTCAAAGGCAGGACCTTCTCCCCAGTGAGCACAGCCCAGCCAGACTCCCTGCAGCTGAAACCAAATGGCCAAATACCTGCAGAGATGTGGCCCTGAGACACCTCCCAACAATGCTGAGCTGTGGTGCGAAGGGCATTCCGCTCCCTCACCATGACTCTGTGCACCCCACAGTGCTGCTCTGCCCTGCTGTCAGCAGGGCAAAGGGCAAAAGGACAAGCAGAGTTTGGACAATGCTCTGAGAAACACTGCTTGAACATTGGGTAGTCCTGTGTGGAGAAAGGATTTGGACTTGGTGATCTCTGTGGGTCCCTTCCACCTCAGGATATTTAGTGATGCTGTGGTGCTGCAAACAGTCTTTGAAGGCCTCACAAAGCCCAGCCCAGCCCTAAAGCCCTTTCTCACTTGGTGCCAAATAATTAAACCCTCATTTCTGTGCTTGCTTTAGGAGCTAGTACCTAAAACATCACCAGCATTCCTGTCAGCAATGCAGCACACACAGGGATTGCTCAGGCAGCTGCACCAGGACCAGCTGTACGGGGTGGCTGAGGCATTCAGCCACGCACACAATGGCTCAAAGGGATTTCTGCATCACCCTGTGCAAGGAGAAGAGCCTTCAGCAGCAACCCAAGCAGCTGCAGTGGGCTCTTGGGGAAAGATTTAATTACTTTACCAGGGAGCACAGCCATAGGATTGGCTTTTTCTGCTGACTTGCTGGCATCCCCCATGCCCTCTGCACCAGCCCAGAACACGAGCAAAACACACAGCAGAGAGAAACACCTGGACACTGCAGAAGGCTGTGGCAATCTGCACATTTCTCCCCACATTTCCTTAATCCACATGCTCAACAGAATTTTGGCTCAGAGAGAGCTCTACAGAGAAGGACTCGGGTGTCCTAGTGGCCACAAGCCAGCAGTGTGCCCTATGGGCCAAGAGGGCCAGCAGGACCCTGGGTGCAATGCCTGGAGCATGGCCAGCAGGGCAGGGCAGTGTTCCTTCCCTCTGCTCTGCCATGGGGAGGACACAATTGGAGCTCTGGGCTCAGTGCTGGGCTCCCCAGTTCCAAGCAGACTGGGAAGTGCTGGGAGAGCCCCACGTTGGGCACTGAATGTCACCTGAGGGGGAATGGCTGAAAGCTCCAGGGCTGTTCTCCTGGAGAAGACTGAGAGGGCTGTGAGAAGGGCAGGGTCAGGAGGATGGGGCAGTGCCAGGACAAGGGGCACAGGGCAGCCCCCACGGCTCTGCAATGCTGCGAGTGCTGACGTGACACCCCGGCCCCACTGCATGGAGAGCACAGAGCCCACAGCCGAGCGATAAGTACCCCTTTCTGCAGCCTCTTCATGAGAAAGTCGGAGCCACCGGGCTTCTGGCCCAGGTTGGGGTATTTGGCCTTCAGCTTCGCCTCCTCGGCCCGCTCCGGGATGACGGTTTCCTTTTCCTGCGAGTCCTGAAAGACAGCGGTGGATGTAAAAGCTTCTGTCCCACGGCAGACCAAAACGACCGAGGGGGACCGATGTCCCTCAGCTCCCACACGGCCTCGTCCACACGCAGCCCAAAGGAGCGCACCGGACGCTGCGGACACCCGGCCCGCACCGGGGCCGTACAAAACCCCGCAACGCCAGCGTCCCACAAGCCCCCGCCATCTCTCCCGGAAGTCCCGCCTCCGCGCTAGCACCGCAGCCAATGAGAGGCTAGAATAACGACGCCATGGGCCAACCGGTGAGCGGGGCAAGGAAGAGTGGCGCGTTGCAGAGCCAACGGGAAGCGGGAGGGCCCGCAACGCTGTTCCTCACCTGTTTCTCCTGCCCGGAGTCCTCCGCGCGGGCGCCGGTACCCAACTGGGCGGCCATGGCGGGGAGAGGCGGCCCTGCGGCTCCGCGCTGCCTCCGCGCTCCCTGCGCGCCGATCGGCCCTGAGCTCTGCTCCAAAATGGCCGCCACCGCCCCCTGACGCCCCGGCTGCGTGACGGACAGGCACGTGCCCAATGGGCGCAGCGAGGAGGCCGTGGTGACGTCACGCAAGACCAATGAGGGCTCGCGGGGGGCGGGGAAAAGGGCCGGGCTTGGCCACACTATGTGAAGCTGCCGGAACCAATGGGAAGTGAGAAAATAGCTTGTAGGCGGGAAGGTGTGGGGCTACAGAGCTTGATGGACAGTGAGAAAAACCAATAGGCAGAGCGGCCGGGGAGAAGGGGCGTGGCCACAGCCTGGGCGCTGGGAAGGCTCCGGAAGCGGGCGCCCCCTGGTGGACAGGAGGAGCAAAGCAGAACCTGTAGCGCCCACTACTCCCAGCGCCCCTCCGGTCCTCACCCCCACCCCACACCGTGACAGCCCCGCAGTGCTCCCAAAACGCCGCGAGGCCCAGTGCTGGCGCTCCCCCGCTTCTCCCACCCCCAAATCCACGGAAAAGAGGGGCTGAGCCACCATGGAAGCAGAGCACTGAGGGAAATGCTGCAGGATGCAAAGGAACACGTTCACACTGTCCGAGAGGGGAAATGGGGGAGAGGAACAAGAAAAAAAAAACCACAAAACAGTAATAAAAAAACACTGTAAACTTTTCCCTTTCTCTCTGACACAAACCCTTGAGCTCCCCCCCAGCACCCACAGCCCCAACAAAGGCACCAGGTCCCAATCCCAATACGGCAGGGTGGAGGAGGAGGCTCTGCTTGCAGCTCCACGTGTGGACCCACAGCACTCGGCCACCTCCCCTGAGCCCACCATAGGACCTAGGCCCGGTTGAAGGCCGCCAGCACAGCCCAGATCACCTCTGTCCCTTTGCCCTGGGCTGCCTCCAGCTCCGCATCGGCCTCCAGCACATCCCTGACTCTGCTCATGGCCATTTCATACTGTGTGTCCTCCAGGCCGCCCAAAGCCTTCTCCAGCACATCCGAGGCGTGGGCCAGCACCAGCAGCGCCAGCAGCCTGCGGTCCATGCGGCGCGGGTCTCCCGTCCAGCGCTCCAACAAGCTGTCCTGCAGCTTCCTCAGCAGGCGTTGCTTCTCAGTGGTGTCACAGATGGGGTGGGTGGTCATGTCGAAGAGCAGGAAGCTCTGCTTCCCCGTGGTGAGGATCCCCTTCTCCACCAGGCCCTTGGCGACACGCTCACGCACGTTCCGCAGCTGATACTGCAGCTTGAAGGGGTTCCAGGTCTCACCTGGGGAGAATCACAGAACCATGGGATCACAACAGAGTAGGGGTGGAATGGATAAGTGGAAAGGCTTTAAGCTAAAAGAGGGGAGATTTAGGTCAGATCTGAGGTGGAAATTCAACCCAGAGCAGTGTGGGTGCCCCATCCCTGGAGGTGCTCAGGGCCAAGCATCCGTGCTCATGGCAGGGGAAGGAACTGCATTGTCTAAGTTACTTTCTAACCCAAGCCCTTCCAGGAATCTGCTCTTTCTTTCCCCCTGGTCCGACCTGTGAGCAGCTCTATCCAGGTCTGCACCGTTTCCATGGACTCAGAGGCTTTGATGTGCCGGAGGGTCTCATCCAGGAGGACATCACCAGTGGGAGCAGCCGACTTCAGCAGCACCTGTGAGAACCAACCAGAAACTGTAAGGCCCAGACATGGGCAGACACTTGAGATGTGCCACAAGTGGGGCAAAGGTGGGTAAAACCATGAGCCAAAGCCATCCGGCACAGCACAGCATCACAGGGAATCAACCATGGGGGGGGCACATAATACCTGGGACTCATTTAACCACCCTGTCAGCCCCACTGCCATCACCTTCCTGTCCAGCAGCCGCTTCTTCCTGGCTGTGAGTGGCTCCAGATGGATGCGGCCCCGCAGTGCCAGCTCGATGAGGATGCCACCACGCAGACCAGGGGACAGGCAGTCGTTCCAGAAGGATGGGTAGCCCTGCAAGCAAGGGGACAGGCAGGGAGCTGGGGACAGGAGGGACGAGAGCCAGTCCTCCCCAACACTATATGCTCAACATCCTGCTCAAGCCAAGAACGTTTTCCCCCTTGGAGCTCCTATCACAATGTGAGCAATCAACACCATCCTGCCCTGTAGCATCCATAGTGCTGCCCTCAGGACCAGGCAGTGACTCCTCTCCCCTCAGCACTGGTCAATTCCCCACTGTGTCTGTTTGCACAGTGCCTATAAACACTGTGTTGTTCAGCTTGCGTAGCTGAGAGAACCATAAAGTAGATATTTTAACTTTATTTGCTTTCTTCATTTCCTGGTGAGTAAAGACAAAGCAACTCTTTATGCTTGCAAAACATGCCCTGCTTCCTTCCATCATGGCAGATGCAAAGGATTTGTTTTTTTTTAGCAGGTGGACTTAAGGAATAAGTTTCTCAAGGAAAAAGGGCGTAGATGTCACCAAAGGTTGTGATTTGTTGGGTATTCCTACCCTGAATTTTAGGGGTAAGTTGAAAGCTCCTGGAATCATGACAGATTGGTGCTTACAAGAATGAAATTGCATTGTGGGCTCATTGGATTTGCCTAAAATTGTCTGGTGTTTTTCACCAGTCCAACTATGATTCCACAGGAGAGCTGGGGCAGTGCAGTGCCATGGAGATCAGCTGGCTGCCAGGCTTCTGCTGCCCCATGGAGGAATGTGGAAGGACAGGAAGGGGGAAAAAAAAACACCAAAACCAAAGCAAGCATGTGAAAAGTCTTTTTTTTCCTTATCTATTGTGCACACTTAATTTCCTGCTGGCCAAAGACCCATTCCCAGGAACACATTAACCACACAGAGAATGTTTAACGTAGCCCACGGAGAATGTAAACTGCTCCACACTCCCATGTTGCTCTCAAATATTTGCTCCAAGGTTCCTGCACAGCATTCTGCTCTCATGTGCCTCCTGCTCAGCCCATGGACCCTAGTCTTACCCTGGCTCCCCAGGCAGGGCAGCCACCAGCCCACAGCTACAGGCTGAGAGCACAAAGCAAATGGTCTGAGCTGGGCACTGTGCAAGAGAAAACAACTGCAAAGCTCAGGAACCCCCAGAATAAATGCCCTGCAAACAGCAATACCATAACTGTGCACAGCCACTGTGGCTTCCCATCCTCCCCAGGGCAGAGCTGCTGCTGGGCAGTGCTTGCATGCAAGCCTCAGCTCGAGCCCTACAGCTCCCTCTGAGCCATTGGTGGGGGTTGTTTAGGGGTTATTTGAGCTGGGGAGGACTCGAGGTTAGAACTCAAACGACCCCTTCAGCCGCTGGAGCCTCACTCACCTCCTTATCCTGCAGCCCCAGGAGCAGCACCTCCTCCATCAGTGTGAGGCGGGGGGCTTTGGAGTTGTCAGAGTCATCATCAGGCAGCTCCCTGTCCGCAGCCACGTCCTCCTCAGGCTCAGTCCTTTTGTCCCCACGCCATCCCCGACGTGTGAGCGTCGTCATCCCCACCTGGGGATAAAGAACAGAGGTGCCAAAAGTGAGGGGTACAGCAACAGCCCGACTCGGAGCATGGCCTCAGGGGAGAACAGGGGACACTCTGCCCCTCTTACCCGGAGCTCTCAGCTCACCTGGCCCTGGGAGCGGCCGCTGCCACGCGGTGACGTGTTGATTCAGATGACTGCACCTCCAGGAAGGGAACCAGGAATCGCAGCCACCACGGGGACATCCTGCCCTGAGAGCTTCCGGGCTGAGAGGGCTGGAGGCCCTGGGCTGGGTTTTGCACACCTGGAGCTGCTGTCAACCCCTCACACTCACAGAGCTGCAGAGCCCACAGAGGCGTCCTACGCCTGCACCACCACTGCTCAGCACAGAGAAGCACTGCCTTTTTTTGGCCCTTTATCCTCTGACCATCCCAGATGGGGTCAGACCCACACAGACAAGAACATAAACTCCAGTGACCACCCACAACAGTCCCTGTGTTTTATTAACGGCCCTAAATGCGCTCAAAGCATAAAAGAAAGACAGCAACCAATTGTTGAAGAACAGTGTTTTAATACGATCAAATGGGACAAATTCAAACGTGTCAAGAAACGTTCAGCTACCCAGACCAAAACAGAGCAGCAGCTCTGAGCAATAGACAGCATCTCTCCAGTTCTACAGCACATCCAAAATTAACCATCACTTTGGTGGAATAAAAGTGGCACCTCCTCCAACTCTTGCAATTAATCATTCTACCTGAACACGTTTCTTTTTTAAATCACCTCACGCCATTCTAACAAACAGCTGCCAATAATTAATGATATGCAAGCAGCCATCCAGCTGCCTGCATTTGGCACAAAATATGTAATTAATGGTATGAAGAATGACTATACTTTGGTCTGGAAGAAGTGCAAAGAATCAGAGACCTCTAACAATTCCAGCTCTTTTTTCACAAGAAAAGCAAAAACTTCAACACCAGAAATCTGATCAGAATTGCAGCAGCATTCTGTGTGTGTTTCTTGACAGGGATGCAACCTCCTATAGAAACTCACTGCTCATTTCTCCATCTGGGCTTCTTAATAAACTTCCTCTCCTTAAATCTGCTATGCTACGACCACTAATAGCACAAGAAATCCCCCAAAGGTATTTCAATATTAACATTCACATTAAACACAAGGAGGAAGCAGTGTGGAGAAGCACCCTGCGAGGCAGACAGCAGGAGATGGGTGTCTAGAACTGCTCCTTCGGCTCGCTTATCTTCCTCCTTTTTGGCAGCACGTCCTGACTAGAGGAGAGCTCAGCCTGGTGAATCTGCAACAGAACAGGACCTGCATTACAGTGCTGTCGCTGAGCTGAGCACAGGGAGAACCACCCTGCAGGGATGCAGCTGTGCAGTGCACCAAGCCCTGGGGGGTGGAGGGACCCAATGCTGCCTCCCAAGGGCAGATTGCAGCACAGACACCACTGCTTCACTTGCAGGCCTAGGGGAACCCGGCTCCCTCCCAGCAGTAGGTTGAGGCAGCAGGAGCTTTGCTAACTCCATTCTCTAGAAAATATCAATCAATCCTAATGAGCTTTTCCTCAACCTGTGCTCACTTTCAGCTCTTTGGAACAGACTTGGTTTGACACTAAGGATCAGAACGTGCTGATGTTCATCAATCAAGATGATGTTCATCAATGAGAATTCCATTAGTAGTAAAGCTGACAGTTTTATTCACTGGAGCAGAAAACATCTCAAAGAAGTAAAGAAAAACTGACACTCACAATGTAGGCTTGGAATAACTTCCCACTCCTCGTCCTGCCTTCCGACACATTAAGTTCAGAGGTCTTCCTTGCCAGATGATCAACCTGAAGAAAACAATCAGAAAATAAATGCTGCAAGCTTCAGTGCAAGGCACTTCATAAAGCACTCAGGTATCTGGGGCTGCTCTGCCTTAAGAACATTCAGCACCTGCATCTGAAGTCATCTTCCACATTTAAATGAGGTTTTCCCACTTTCAGTTTTCATACCTGAGGATTGGAGCTGTACTGATTTCTGTTCTCCCCAACCTTCAAAACTTCATCTCTTCCACAAGGAAAACCCTCCTCTGCAAGAAAGCAAAGCGAAGCACACTGTGAGCAATGCACTCCCAGCCTCACACCACTGCAGTGCTCTGAGCTGGGAGAGGAATCGTGCATCACAGATACAGAGAATGGATGCTTCCTCCTGTTTCCAATCTATGCAGTTTTCTCTACAATCCACAGATCAGCACAAGCTGCTTCAGCAGTGCTGCTCTTCAGCCATGCTAAACAAGCCAAGGATTGCAGGATGACAGCAGCATTATTTCAGACAGCTTTGTAAACTTCTTAAATTAAAATAAAACACAAGTTCTACCTTGAGCTTCCAAAGCATCTGCATGATCACCATCTCCCACTTTGTTATCCAACACGGGATCTTCCTGGAATGAGAAAGAGGCCCAATTACTGCAGACAGAAGCAAAGAGCTCCTGCTCACAGGAGTCAGATCTCCTTAGATGGATTCTAAGTGAAACAAAACATATTTATAAAGTTATTGAATCTGATACGGGATGTCCAGCCCAGCTCAGTGTTACTTCCCCATCAATGCAAGCAGGCAGAGATGGAACTCAATTACTGAAGAACATCGGTCTGAAATAACTGTGATACTAGAAAAAAACCTTGAGCATTTAACATCTTAGAGTTACACAGGACGACTGCATTCCTTATTAATAATACCACACTAATAGATGCAGAAGAATTAATGGCCCCTTTCTACCATACAGATCAAAAACAGTTCCAAAAGCTGCAACAGCACTTGATTTCTCACCTTGATGTGCTGGCTTTCTTCTACTTCATCTCCATCCACTGTGAGCACCGGCAGGGGCAGACTGGACTCTCTTTGCTTCAGAATGCTTTCATCACAGTTTTCTACCCTCTGTTTGTCAGTTGTGACTTTCACTTTCAACATGTGGAACGGCGTTGGCACCTCACCCATGTTCAGATACATGGGCTCTCCCTCGAATATCATCCCCTCACATTCGCCCTCCTTGAAGCCAGGGGGCTGATAATCAGGTGGTGTAACTGTAGGAGAAAACCAGATCAGCTTATGGGGTTAAGAGACTTTTCTGCCTTAAAATTAAAGCTGTTAAAAAACGTGTGTGGGAGGAAAGGAATTACCAATATTCCATTTGTACTAAATGAAATTCTTTCCCTCTACAACAACTGCTTGAAACAGTTCACACAGGCAAGCATAGATGAGCTAGAAATTCCTCTAAAAGCAGCAGCTATTGTCAGACATTTACAGGGCAACACCAACTGGCACACAGCACTTCCTAATGCACTCAGAACAACCCAGTTTGTCCTTAAAACTCTCACTGCAATGAGGTCAGCTGTAAAGCTGCATTCCTACTGTGAGATCAGAGCAGCACCCCCTGCACTTTAGAAACCGTGCTGAGAAATAATTAAGTCCCAGCAATTGTAAAGATTACACATGAAATTCTTTCTTTTAATCGCTCTCAAGCATCTCAGCACAGCGGGTCAGTTGAAGTGATGGGGAAACACCACCTTCATCATAGTAGAAGAGCTTCATTGTCAGGCAGACGTTGTTTGGGAGCGGGCCCAGGTTCTGCATCAGAACGTAGATCTTGCGGATGAGGAGGATGCTTGCCTTCTTGGTGTCTGCACAGCTGATGGGAGAATCACCCTGTTTGTTCTTACTGCAAACGGAGAACACTCAGCTTTCATACAGACTGAAGGGTTGCTGTTTTAAGACACACAACTGCGGACTGTGCAAGTGAAAATGCTGAAACGATTCACTGTGTTTTAAAAATAAGGCTAAATAATAGACCACGCTGATCTAGAATTAAAGACAGACCAAAGAACTCCTGGCTGACAGTACCTGCTGAAGTTCAGGACCGGCCCATTGGGGGTGTACTTGAATTTGAAGTGGTAACATTCTGTAATTGTCTGCAAACAAATGCAGTAATTATTAAATTATCAGTTGTCCAGGAAGCCAATACTGCTGCTGCTTCCATCCAGTTCCCGACTAATCTTTATTTAAATTACAGTCCTTAACTCTTGTCCAATGCATTGAAACACCGCATTCAAATCCTTACCAGTTTTAACACACACAAAGTCACCAAAGCACAGCGAAGCTGAGCCAGGGACTGCCAGGATGAATTCATGTGAAAGAAACTCCAAGCTTTTAGTATTGAGTTTTCTATCCAAACATTCCTGCTCTACCAGATTTACCTGAGGATCATCCGGGTGGGTGTAGACCTGGAGGTTTAAAAGGAAGGACAGGAAGCAGATTAAGACTCACACACACATGTAAGCACCAACCTTTAGATACAAGGGCTTTACTCTTCCATCACACTTACCGCCAGGACAACCATTCTTAGCTGTGAGAAGCAAAGAGAAGAACAACGTCAGATATGCTCAGCCCACTTCTGCTGTTTTGTTTCCTCAGCTTTCAAAACCAATTATGACCACCCTATTCGAAGCAATCAAGCTCTTCATATGTTCAGCTCATCTCTTTGAGAAAGGATTTGCTTATGTGGCCTCAAGAGATCGAGCACACAACAAATATTACCCTGAACTCCCATACTTTAGCTGTTTCAGTGCACCAAAGAACAGTTATCCTGTAGCCAGAGACTCCCCCAGTTGCAGTGGCAAGCAGTGGAATCACATACATGAATATTTAAATGCACTTCAAATAGCTGAATAACACTGGAAGACTTACGTATTTCTTCTGCAAGGCATCGTAGCATCCCAACATCCTGCAAAAAAGCAAACAACATTGCCCAGCTAGTTCTAATTCCTATTAGCTTCACCTCTAGGGACAGTCTGCAAACACACTTCCTCCTTACAGTTCTTTTGAATGCATTCAACCCTCAGGAATTCTCTGTGGTGTGTACACGATGCTGTCCTGTGGCTGCAACCATCCATGTGTTCACAGCACTGTTTCAGATGCCTGACTGTGTGTTATTACAGATAAATGCATGACAAGAACTTAGCCACAACCAGATGGTGAAGATCAGGCACTAAGAACACAATCTGGGCACTTGCTTGCTTCCACAAGGTGAAGTTTTCCTTACAGTTGCTAACTAGAGAGCTACCTTTCAGAATTCACACACTGTAACTGCTGTGTGAGTGTGTGGTCAACGTACCATTTCACCAGCTGAGTCGAGCCAGGGCAGTTTTTGTCTTCCCTTAAGATTTTGACACAGAGATCTCAAAAGAAAGTAAAAAAGCCATCTTTAAGGACAAAAACCAACAACATTGGAAGTGAAGCTCATTCTCCAGACACTCTGTTAAGCACAGATTAAAGTGCAAATGCTCTAATTGCTCAGTCAGCATCACTGCTATCTTTAGTAGCATTCAATAATGACCATAACAGTAAAGTTTCAATATGGTCATAAGAAATAGCTACTGTCTTTAATTAAATGGATGAAGTGGCTTTAAGAACAAACTCAACAACAACCCTGTGCCTATCTGCCATGCAAAAAAAGCTAGAGAACAGCCTGTTACCATCCAGGTATCTGGTTCCATAGGCGCTTTCAGGGAAGATCCCTCTCAGGTAGGTAATGCAGGACACTGCCACGGCCAGCAGCCTCTTCACCAGAGTCAGGGACTGCTGTTCTGTGTGTATCTTATTGGGAAACACAACTGCACTCTGCAAGAGAGAAATCAGTCATCTTTCAACACCAAATCTATACGGATTACACCCTGCCTACCAAATACTTTAAATGCCAGACGTGATTTTCAGCACTTACAAAACCAGGTGTGTTCATAGCATCCCTGAGGTTGGAGAAGACCTCTAAGAGAACTGCCTGGGATCATTGGACAGGGCTGTCCAGAGCTGTGCGTGCCCTATACAGGAATGACCCCCATAGATGGGGGAGGGCATCTCATAAACAGCTTTTCCAGCCTTAACGATTCCATGAAGTTCAGCTATCAACCCACAGCCCCCACCTGTAACGCTTGGTGTGACAATGCTTTAAGACATCACTGATTTACACCAAACACACTACACTCTGGAGCTTTAACCCTATTTTGCCACTCAGCACCTTTATATGGAGTTAAAGACGAAATCAGTCCCAAATTTTCCAGCGCGGAAAGCTTACAACACAGCTGGGTGTTTTATTGAAGCTAAGATTCGCTATTTTTTACTTCAGTAAGACGCTGTGATGGAACTAAACCGTACCACACAGTTCTTCGGCTTTTGAGCGGTAGCCATCGCTCTATTTCAGCGCAGCACCGGCAGCACCTCGGCTCGGCCCGGCCTCAGAGCCGCCTGCGCTGAGGTAACTTCGGGCCGTGTGCAAAAGGTGGGGGGGGGGAAGGAGCGGGAGCGCAGCCGTCGTTTCCCGCCAATTTTCACCTGAGTGGCGTTGATTTTATTTACGTTTACCTCGAGCTGGAAAAGCTCTGAAGAACAATAAAGCGATGAATTTCGGGTAGAAAAATACCTGAAGGCCTTGTTTGTTTGTTTGTTTTTAAAAAAATTCCTTTTGGGTTTCCAGCACAGCGTTTGCCTATTTAAACGATACAAATCTACACAGAGAGAGACCAGCCCTGCCCCAAAGAAAAGCCATGAGATCAATGCCTGCTGTGCTCTGATCAGAACATGAGTAATATTAATGACGGCTTTTCCTTAATAGAAAACACAGAGAGAAAGAGAGATCAAACTTTGTTGCTAAATGCATCGTGAATTCAGTGTAAATTGCAAACAAGTTGGGTTCTTTCAGCAGGAAGTCTTAAAAATAAGTACTAAATTCCCCTAAGTGAGATATTAAAGCATTCAACAGAGTTGCAGACTCAAAACAAGCCGTAAAGAGAGACCTCCCCATAGATACTGAATGACTTTCAGGTCATTTTGGAGCCCACAGATCTGAGACTTCTCACATTTTATTTTTTCTCCCTCGTTTTGCTTTGATTTGTTGTATTTGTTACCACATTACAGCTGCAATGCTGATATTGCAGAACTATCAGTCAAAAAGCAGCATGGATTGATAAAATAATAGAACATCTTTAGATGCAAGACAGCTTTTAACAACCAATATTGATACACGACTTATTGGAAGAAAAGATTCTAAGAAACAGATGATAAAAGAGCCACTAATGGGCCAGCAATGGCTGATTTACCTTTGTGAACCTGACCAGACTCTGACATCCCTGCTCTGCCCCTCCAGCATGAAGTCTTGGTTCACATTCTTGGTTGAACCTGGCTTCAAACCCAGGTGAATGGGTTCTTGCTGTAGCTGATCTGGAGCACTCTTTCCTCTCCCAGCCATGGCATGGAAATGCTGATCCTGGCAGCATTATCCACCATTGCCCTCCAAGGGCTGCAAGCACTCTCCATCTGCAGCTCCTCTCCCCGTACAGTGCCATGCTTCTGGGCATGGGAGGAGATAGAAGCTTGTCACACTTAGCATGCCATGTGCTTGGACTTTGCATTACCTTCCTGGTAATTTGAATGATAGAATGGCTTGGGTTGAAAGGGACCTCAAAGATCATCAGACTCCAACCACCTGCCACAGGCAGGGCAGACAACCTCCATATCTAACTTGAACTGTTCAGAAAATGAGCAGGGGTTTTCTCATTGGAGTTATTTGTAGGTAACATGAAATGTGTGCTCCACATTTGCAGTCACCAGAGATGGTTCTCTGCTCTCTGTGTATGGAAAGCACTTCTTGCTGCCTTCTAGCAGCAAGGTGCAGCAGTGAGCGCTCCTCTGGGAGCACAGCATTGGTCAGGAATGGCAGTCCAAGTGAATGACACTGTGGTTTCCATCGGCGCAGTGTTGTTGCTTATCTCTGTCTATTTCTCCATTTATAGAATGCAAGTAGTCCTGAGAATAGGATGGATAATGTTTTTTATTTGTGTTTTTAGTGTTGGACTAGATGACTCCTGTGGGTCCATTCCAGCTCAGGGTATTGTGTCTGTGCTTCATCAGAACGGCTCAGATCTCTTGAGCTGATGATGAAATGCAACGTTCTGCGCACATCTTGTGCTGCTGGAAGACTTTCAGGTGGAATGAGACTTGGATGCCATGTCTCTGGTGGAAATGTCTTGTGGATTGGCTGGTGCTGGTTGTGGTTTTAGATAATCTTGTATGCAGGCCGGGTTGGGCGAACACAGGTGAACAAAGGGTGTGCCCTGTTGGTCTTCTCTTCTGGAATGCAGAGGCGCATCTTGTCCAGAAGGTGACCTGGCCAGAACTTGTTGTTTGATCCCTCATTGGTCTTTTCTTTCCGATTCCTCTGACGAGAGCTGAGAAGAAAAAAAAAGGAAAAAAGAAAAGAAAATGAGAATAAGAAAGTATGAAGCCTGTTTTGTGAGCATAAACTTCTAGGCAATATGACCACTCTTACTCGTAATGGCAAAACTCCTCTGAAGCCCTCTTGTTTTTGCCTTCTTTGCCCAGGTTTCCAGTTGTAGTTTTGGATGACCTGGACATGCTCAGAGGTGAGGACACATCAGCAAGTCCTGTGTTGCGGTATCCTCCAGGCTGCGTGATATTCCTCAGATATCGTCGTTCTCTGATGATTTTGTCTCCTGGGTGCAGCAGGCCTGTTGACAAAGCACATCCAATCTGGGTCACCTCTGTTTTACGTCTGTGATGCTGCCCTGGAGTGGCTACAGCTACTGTGTAAGGGAGGAAGGCGTGGATGATGGCCCAGCGTGTGCTGAGAGGCCTCAGTGGCCCTAAGCAGCTTTGTGTGGGGCTTCTGCCTGCGCTCTCTGCCCTGGGATCAGGAGCCCCGTTTCATCTGAGACCTCAACTCAGCCACAGCCATGGCTCTGCCTGGCCATGGACCCACTGAACCTGACAGGGGCCTGACTTCCCACTTTTGCCTTCCCTGTACCACTGCCGTGAGCTTGCCTCATCATTTGTGCTCTTAGCTGAACCTGGCCCTGATTGATCTGGAGCACTCTGTGCTCTCATCTACGCTGGTGGGATTGCTGATCCTAACCAGTCCTCCAAAGGCTGCAAGTATTCTCCAAAAGCAGCTCCCCTCCCCATACATTGGTCATGTTTCTGGGCTGGGGAAGAGACGAGCTTGTCAGATTCATCTCAGGCCCTGGGTGTTGCATTACCTTTCTGCAGCACTGGCTCGGTGAGATGAATGTCACGCTCTTGGCACAGCTTGGAGGAATTCAGGTAACTCGCAGCTGCCTTACTGCGGTACCGGTCGACCAGTGCACCCATGTCACTGCCTGCAGTTGATGGGAAGCAGTGCTCTTCAACAGTTAGCTCCCCAGGTCTCTCCAGCTGAGATGTTTCTTTCCATGTGATTGGGCTGCCCTTGTCCTCCAAGCAAAAGAAAGGCTCAGGTTAGCATTCAGCATTGCACTGGAGTTGCTCTATTCTCTTCAGAGAAGCTCCAGATAGGGATTAATCTCCAAAGGGTTGCCACAAGATCAGTACCTTCTTCACCCCTGGTCTCTTGATAGTTTTTTGTGTCCTGTCTCCAGATGGTTTTGGAGAGTCTTTCTTTTCGTGGGCTGTTTGATGTCCTTGTGCTGGCTGAGCATGGACCGGGGTAACTTCTAAGGGTGTTAACTTCACTGTGGGCTTGGTAGGATCCATCTCTTTGGCTCTGCCCTCAGCAGAATGTGGAGATGTGGCAGATTTGCATGTGGCTTTAGGGGGCTGAGTCTTTGCACCTGGAAGAGTTCAAAAAGAAAGCCCAGAGAAACCATGTTAGACAGTAGCAGAAGGAAACATCAGGGCTGACCAATGCTTATAAGGCAAAGGACTTTGGCATTTTATGCACTGGAGCACCCAGCAGATGCATCTCATGGAGACATTCCACAGTCTGAAAAGAAACAGAGAGAGTTTCCCAGCCCAGTGTTCTCCTCTTACCCCCTTTGGTCTCTCTGGATTCTTTTTTCTTCATTTCCAGCCACTCATTTTGACATTCCATCAGCTTTTCCATGGTAGTATATTTCCCACGTTTAGGGGCAGTCAAAAAGATGATCACATCCTCCAGCTCCTTTTCGCTGATGGGAATGTTTGTCTAACAGCCAAAACAGAAAATGACAGTGTGATCAATCAAACAACAAACAAGGCTGTCCCCGGAGCAGGGTGAGCTTTATGTGGGGTTACCAAACACTGACAAATGGACTGCTCTGCTGCTGCCCTCTGAATCATAGAATAGCTTGGGTTGGAAGGCACTTCAGGGATCATTGAGTTCCAACTGCCCTGCCGCAGGCAGGGTTGCCAACGGCTAGCTCTGCTGAGCTCTCAGCTTTTAGTGTTCTAAACTTCCCAGCCTTCTGGGTATCAAGAATATGTTTTGTCATGGGCCAGACTATCAGAAAGCGTCTGAAGTGCTCAGCCTTAATTGACAGCGCCCTACTACTGAAGCCTGTGGAAGGTGAGGGTCAGCATGAGCTGTTTATTACTTTCCTGTGCCCTCCATACCTGCTTGACGATTTTAATGAAATCTGCTTTCTTGATATTTCTGCCTTCCATGCCAGCTTTCTTGAAGATATTCACCAGTGTGGTCTTCCGTTTGCGCAGGAGGTTATGCAGTGTAATGAGAGCCTCTGGGTACGGTATGCAAAGAGGGGGCTGAGGCTGGCTGCTTGCTGGTGGTGTGTCCTGAAAAGGAATTGGAAAATACCCTGACATCCCCATTGCCTCGAATCACCATGGCAGGAGACGTGGAAGTGGCTGGGCTACAGCAGCATCACTCTACTGATTAAGGCCACAGAAGATGCAGTGGAGTGATCCCAAGGCTGAAGCAACACAGTATCTACTTACGCCCAGGTTATCAGTCACAACTGGTTTGCTTTCAGCCCTTCTCTCCGCTCGGCGTGACTTTATGCGTTCCCAGACTCTCTCTTCCACATAGCTCCGGGAAGATTTATTTCTCAGCCATTTCTCAATGTTTCCAAAGCTTTCTAGCTGAGAAATGAATTGCTTCCTCTCCTGGATCCAGTCCGACAGGTCACATGGATCATCTTCAGGTTGAGAAGTGACCACTGGAAAGGTGGGACTTTCTTTGTCCTGCCTTCCTTCTGTGTCTGACGTCTGTGAGAGAGGTCTAAGAAAACAACAAACAGACCAAGGTGAGTCGGTCTGAGTGCAGGAGGAGTTTCTTCTCCATCCAGTTCTGTCCTCTTCCTCAGTAGGATGAGGTCTCTTCACCCAACTGTCTTCCCAACAGCAGATGGGGAATAACAGCACTGAGCTGTAATGCTCAGATGCACCACCAAGGGAATGAGGGTTTTCTCTAAGGAAAGTTCAGGACACACAGATCTTTGTCCGTCTTGATGGAGTGAGGAACTGTGCCTTGTGCAATGACAGGCGATGCTGGTATCTCCCCTTCCTGGCCAGCACACTGAGAACTGTGGTGGGGTCTCAAATACTGCATTACTCAGTGAAAGAAAAGGGGTTGTTACTGGGGAGCACTGCCAAAGGCAGAAAAGATGGGCTGGAGCCAGGAAGCCTGTTCTTGTCCTCAGCATTATCAACAAAGAGGCTTTTCAGGAACTAAAGGAAGCATGAAGAAGCACCACAGACAGATACTGCTCTGCCTCCTTGGGACAGGTTGATTGGAATGCTGCTTTGCTAAAAGAGCAGCATCAGTGGCAATATCACACAGGCACAAGAGCAACAGCAACTCAAATCCCTGACGATTATCACCTGTCAGCAGGCTCCTCTTCTTCATCTGTCTCAGCTGTGGTTAATGTGCTGAGAGAAATGGTCCTTCGTAGTCTGAGTAGCTTGCAGAGAAGAGACTCTGTAAACAGGAAAGGAGAAAGGCTCTCAGAACTGGAGGCACAGATCTGCATAACAGCATTCTTATTATATACCAGGAGGTATTCCGATCCCCTGTTCTCCCAGAACTCAAGACGGAGTTTGTAATTCCCAATGCTGTACTTCCTAGAAGTTTACTCTCTCCAGCACAAACTCATGAAGTGGAAGAGATGCACTGTGGGGCAAGGAACGCAGGTGGGAACCACGTCCCATCTTGTTCAAAATGTGTCTCTTGAGGTTTATCAGAAGTTGTGGACAGAGGCACACAGAGTGCCTCTGCTGCCCCAGGCATCTCGTTGTAGCACAGGCTCTAAGCAGCCTCTAGGAAGGACTACAGGGAGACAGAGGCACAAACCTCTCTCAAGGATCAGTTGTTAACATTACCTTTTCTTTCCAGTAGCTTTTCTTCTGGTAGTGGCTTCGTATCAAGTTGAGGAACCTCCTTGATCTCAAACCTGGCAATAGGAAGAAGGCACCATTCTGTGAAAAGGGCTCCTTTGCCAGATCAGTGCCAGGTATCTGTGAAGACTAAATTATGTGCCCTAAAGCATGACAAGAGCCAGTGAACAGTGCTGGCCTCAGGAACAGTTCAGCAGCCCCTCTTGACACAAGAAGGCATTTCAGAGGTACTGAGATTGATGTGACTTTTACAACAAACATGGAAATGCCACGGGCAGAGGACATGCATACTTCTACTTTTGTTCCATGTTCTAAGAGATGCTTTCCATGTTGTGTTGAAAACGACAGCAATATTAGGATCTGACTTTTGTTCAATGTTTTGGCAGTCTCGAGTGCAGAAAAGAAGTGGAGGAAACATGAGGAGCATTGCCTAAATGTCTCTGCAGAGCAAACCAGTTCCCTCTGATTGGATGAATGGTAAAATGCAGTGCATGATCAGGAACAGTAAGTCCAAGCTTAGCAAAAGCAAGGAAAAAATGAGCTGCCAAACACTTTGAAAGAGCACAACCAAATGTGAGCTGAGCACATCCAAAGTTGACCAGATAAGTTCTGCAGGAACAAATATACTCACTCTGGCAACAGGTGGACATGGCCAAACTGGCTCGGCAGGAAAGCAGTTTCTTTGTCTGAGATGACCCATCTTTTCTGCAAGTGACAGAAACACCTGATGTGACTCCAAGGAAAGAATCTCAGCGCTCACAAAGGCCTTTCTACACCTCTCCAAATTCACTGCCTCTCAGCAAACTTCTTGACGAGTGCCTCAGCCTCTTGCCAAAGCAAGCTGCATGGCACATATTCTGTTAGGATGAGGAGTGTTGCCAGCCTTATTGCAAGGATGGCAGTTAGCAGCTCAGCCAGAAGAGTGACCACTTGTTTACCACTGAGCAAGCCAATGGAGCAAAAACAATGGAAGGCCTGTTATGAGCCCGGGTTTCTGGCTGCTGCTTTCATCATCAAACACCTTTGGCCCCACCACTGCTTTGGCCTTTTCCTGCTTTGTGGTGAGGCTTTTCCAGGGCTATGCCCTGCCCAGAGGACTGTGTTCATTCCCAGCACCTCTGACCTAGTGCAAATACAGGAAGGAACACAGAGACAATTTTCACTGCTGCATGCCTAGCTCCTGTGGCCTGGCAGCTCTCGGCTGGCAGCAGAGCTTGGTTCCCTGGCTTTGTACAGGACTTCAAACCTGCTGTAAGAAGTGCAGGAAAAACAAAAGACTTACATTGAAAAGCTTTTGTACCACGTCTGTAGACTTGTTAAGATGCAGTAAAAAGTCTTCACAAAATGTCATTTCCACCTGCTCCCCTCGGATAGCAAGAGTGCCAATGTCCTTTAATGTGAAGTCTGCATCTTCTCCGTTTGTTAGGATGTGGTAGAAATACTGCAAGGTCTCCAACAGACAGTCCTGCACTGTTTGCTGAGAATAGGGGCTGTGCAAGCGTATGGTCTCACAGTTCAGCTCTATTATCTCACTGTCATCTGGAAAAGGGGAACAAGGTGACTGAGTCGCACAGCAGCTGAGCAGATTCAGAATAACACACCAGGAGCTTCTGGTTTAAGTGCACTGCTAGAGTGCTGTCTTAACCACCAAGGACTGCTAATTGGGATAAGTGAGCCAATGTATTTAAGCAAAATTTTTGCTTAATTAGTCTTCTTACCACACAAGTAGAAAGGAAAGTGTTTGAGATCACGAGTCTGTGCAACAGTCTCGGACAGCAAAAACAGCGGTCTCTGAAACGTGAGTATCTCGCCGTTCTCAAGGGCTTGCCATTTTTGAATCCAAAATGTCCCCAGTCCGATTATGCTGACAGCCGGAGGCTGGAACAGAAAGGAGGACAGAGTGAGGACCTGTGGCAGCTTGCAAAGGGGTGTCCCATGGCTTCCCCTCTCCTAATGCAGAAAGCTCAGAAGGGGGAGCTGGAAAGGACCACGAACTCAGGACACATTCTTTCCCTTTCCTTTGCTCTCCAAGCATCCCCAGTTGTGTGTGCGCTCTCCACTCTGGGAGCGAGGAACAGAGAAGCAAATTCTGAATACTTGGCATGGGTACTGTACTTTTAACTATTTCCATATTTTCAGTGATTGAAGAAAGTGGTCTTTGGCACATTTGTGGCATGTCTGTACGTGGAAGAGCAAGGGCACTTGCTGGCCCAGGGCTACCTGGACTACTGCAACTGTTGGGCAAGGAGAGGGGTAGGGTGCAGTCCCACCTTTTTCAGCAGGAGCAATTGATGAACACGCTTGAACACACTGTTCCAAATGGTAGTGATATCTGCAATGCAAGAAAAGACACAGAATGCTTTAAGTCAGCAAGTTTGTGGCCTGTTAGCTCGTTTCTAAACAAGGAGATGGCAAGTGTGATCTACCACGGCTCCTGGGGTAAATTCATCCGTGACACGGACTGAATTTGGATAGACTTTGGACTAAAAGTACTGGGAGAGGTCTACAGCTCAGGAGCAAATAGATCTCCTGAGTGGTCCCAAATGCCTTACCATCGGTGGAAAGCTTCTCGAGTGTGGGAAACATGACTGTGCTGCAGCCATCAGTCTCGTCCCAGTGCTCGATGTTAGCGATCAGCTCGAGCAGGCTGACCATGTTCTTGCTTCAGGTGGGCACGTGAAGCTAAAGAACGAAAGGTTTCTGGCGTTTCCTGCGAGGAAACCCTTCTGATACCCTTCTCTGTCCTTCGCCAAATAGCTCTCTCTTCCTTTATCCTCTGAGGTACAAGAGACTCCTTGTGTCCTCTAGAGAAAGCTGGATGCGAGAGCAACTCTGCAACTGCCAGGAGGCACTGAGCTGGGCTGGAGCCCACGCTGATGTAGAGGCTTCTGCCCCTCTGTGATGTCAGATGACATCACAGAGGGGAACAGGGTGTGCCATGGAACGCTGTGAGCTGGGCAGCACCCGTCCACGGGCTGCAGGTTGGAGCTGCAGCCAGCAGAAATCCCCTCAGTCAGGGGCACCTCTGAGCATGGATGGAGCCACATCTTTTCCTTTGTGTGCATTCTGGGGTCAGATTATGACCTTCGGAGTGAGCAGCGTTAGGATTTGGCTTGGTCCAGGTGATGAGGCCACACCTCATAACTCTAAGCTGTTACTGATGAAGATCTGTGATGTGCCGATTCTGATTATTGATATCCTGTGCTGCGCTGCTTACAAAAGCCTGCGAAATAATAAAGCCTTCGTTATATCTCCACCTGCGTGGCAGTCATTGCGTCTGCGACTCTTAAGAACCCCAGGGTCCGTCCCAGGGGATCAGACGACACCTGAGACCCTCGCGAAACGAATCGAGGGCATCTGGTCACACCCGGAGAGAAAGAAAAGACGTTGAGAAACAGCAAACAGGGAACCGGGGGCTGTGAGGGCGGCTGAGGCGAGGGGGGAGCAGCGCTGGGCGGGAATCCAGCTCTGACTGGAAAGGGAGGTAGCGCGCATGCGCAGCTCGCCTAGAGGCGGGGCCCTGTGCTCGCGAGAGTGAGAAGTACGCATGCGTGAACGCGCCCAGCGGGCGCCCGCGTCTTCCGCTGCCGGTGACGTCACTGCCGCCGCCCGTCCTCCTTCGACCCGCGCTGCTCGCCTCGACCGGGCCTGAGTGCGGCTGGGCCGCGTTCGTAGCCCTGAAGCGGGCGGTCCGCCACGACTCCGGTCCCGCCCCGCTCCTCCTCGCTTGCCCGCTGTCGGTTCTCGGCCTTTCCCTCCCGTGTGTCCGTGGAGGGCCTGGTCAGTCTGGCGTGACAAAAATCGCGGGGTGCCGAGCGTGCGCCGTCGTTATGGCAACGGCCGGAAGTGGGTTTGCGGCGCCGCGCGCTGGCCGGAAATGACGCTGCGGTTCGCGCGGAGGCGGTGGAGCCGGGCCGGAGCCATGTCAGCGGGAGGCGGCGGGCAGCGCGACGCTGGGACCGCGGGCGGGTGAGGCCGGGGGCTGCGGGCGACTGCGGCGGGGAGGCCTCGGGGCGGCGGTTCCGCGGAGCGCCGGGCCTCCAGCGGGCGGGCGTTGAAGGCTCTCCTCGATGTGCTCCGCTTGCAGGCGGCGCAGCAAATGGGATCAGCCCGGCCCGGCCCCCGCCTTCCTTCTCTCTGGCGCGGCCCCGCTGCCCGGCCGGCCTTTCCCCGGCGGCGGAGATGGCGGCAGCGCCGTGGGGGTCTCTGAGAGCTCCGCAGCTCCGTCGGGTGCCCTGGATGCGGCCGCGGCCGTGGCGGCGAAAATCAACGCGATGTTAATGGCCAAAGGGAAGCTGAAGCCGGCGCCCAACGCGGCGGATAAGGTGAGAGAGGGGTGGGGGCAACGCCGGGCCCCGGCGGGGGGGTTGGTGCGATCTGCTGTTTTCTCGAGTAGCTTTGAGGAATCACAAAATCACGGAATTTGAAGGGACCTCAAGGATCATGAATCTCCAACCCCCCTGCCACACGCAGGGCCACCAACCTTCCCACCTAATGCTACACCTGGCTGCCCAGGGCCCCATCTGATCTGGCCTTGAACACCTCTAGGGATGGACGGGCGTCCACAACATCTCTGGGCAGCTGTTCCAGCACCTCACCACTCTCACAGCAAACAACTTCCCCCTTACACCCAACTGAAATCTGTCCTCCCTCGACTCAAAACCATTTCCCCTCGTCCTGCAGTTATCAACCCTTCCCAAGAGTTGATTCCCCTCCTGTTTGTAGGCTCCCTTTAGGTACTGAAAGGCTGCAATGATTCACCCCGCAGCCTTCTTTTCTCCAGGCTGAACAAGCCCAATACGTGGGAAAGGTGGAGTGAGGCGTAACGAAACAACAGGGGAGGTTATTTATGTGTTCAGACTGAAAGAGTGGCTGCCTGTTCTGAGAGTTCCACGTTTGAAGCGATCTGAGAACGAACAGTGGGTTTCTCATTGGAGTTATTTGTAGGTAACACGAAAGGACACCAAATGTGCCCATGCTGCACTCACCAGAGATGGTTCTCTGTGTATGGAAAGCACTTCTTGCTGCCTTCTGAACGTGAGGTGCAGCAGTGAGTGCTCCTCTGGGAGCACAGCATTGGTCAGGAATGGCAGTCCAAGTGAATGACACTGTGGTTTCCATTGGCACAGTGTTGTTGCTTATCTCTGTCTATTTCTCCTTTTACAGAGCTTCAGTACTAATTCTTACATCAAAATCACCTGAAAATAAACCTAATAATGTTTATCACTTGATTTTTAAGCTGTGCAGTGTTAAATGATTAAGTGATAGTTTTAAACCACTTTGAATAATTTTATGGAATTGAAGGTTCGACAGATTTAACAGGAAATTAAAAAGGCTGCTCACCCAACCTGGGCCTTGTAGGCTCTGTTTGCTAATTACTCAGTTTTCTAACCACCATTCTTTGCAACAATTGTTTTTGAAGCTGCAGGCTCTGGGGAAAGGCCCGGCCACAAATAAAAGCAAAGATGACCTCGTGGTTGCAGAGGTGGAAATCAACGATGTGCCCCTCACATGCAGAAACCTCCTGACGAGGGGGCAGACCCAGGATGAGGTACGTTCAGGAGTTGCATTTGCTTTCTTTAGCTTGGCAGCTTGAGGTCTGTGCCTCTTCGTGAGGTTAAAAGAGTTGGCAGCAAAGTATGTTCAGCTTTCTATTACAAAAACACTGTTTTCTAAGGTGCTTTGTTTAGTGGTTGGTTGTTTGTTCAGTAACGCACCCTGTGATGAGGTAAGCTAGCACATCCAGTATTCTTTAGCAGCACTATTCATTCTCCTACTACCTTAATAACATTTTCTGGTCTCTTTATTAGACAACTTATTGTGAACCACTTTGAAGCTCTGTGTGTTCTGTTTGTTATCACTAAACTTCTCTTTGTTTTCTTAATTGCTTGCAGATAAGTCGACTGAGTGGAGCTGCTGTCTCCACTCGAGGGCGGTTCATGACTGCAGAGGAGAAAGCAAAAGTGGGACCTGGGTTTGTATTTCTGCTTTCTTTGTGATTGGGTGTTTAAGATATGAGGTTTTCTCACTCTGTTGATGTCATGGGATGTTTGATGTTTTCTTCCTAGAGATCGGCCTTTGTATCTTCATGTCCAGGGTCAGACAAGGGAGCTGGTTGACAGTAAGTGTGCCAAGCATTCCACTTCTAATTCTCATTATTTGCAGTGTGTTCAGGCAGTCTTGTACTGATGGATTTTGTTGTGACTGATCAGGGTTTGTGCTGTAAACAATCTGTGTTGGTAAGTGTAATGCAAAAGCACCAGTGCTTCAGTGTAAGATTTATGGATCCTGAAGGGAGTAGACAGAGGGAAGTTAAAAGTCATCAGTTTAATGGGGAGGTGCTCATATTTCTGGGAGTGGCTGACCACTGAGTTGTCCACTAACCCTCCATGGCTATATACTTAACAGCAGAAAACAATAACTCATCACATATCAAGAAAAGGCAACAGAGCAGTTTCTCACAAGGAAGTTCCTTCTCCATGGAGAAGCTAAAGTTATTTTGCTCGTGTTGCTAAGCTAACCATAGAGCTTCCTATGTGTATTTATCTCCTACAGCCAGCATGCAGTTTTTCTTATCTTGCTCATTCATGCAGATGTGAATTCTGTGCAGGGTTAGGAATGTTTTTATCATGTTTTCTCTACAATTGGGCATGAGGACATCTCTTATATGCTGGCATGGTGAACTGCATCTGTTGTGTTTACCAAAAGATCAATATTTGTGTGGCTATCCTATCAGCACAAATTATTTTGTGGGGAGCACTGGGGGCTTTTAGTAACTTCCCACTGCTGAAATATAAATGGATTTCATATCCTGTCAACTAGGAGCTGTTAATCGTATTAAAGAGATAATTACTAATGGAGTAGTGAAGGCTGCCACAGGTTCTAGTCCAACATTCAATGGAGCTACAGTGACTGTGTACCACCAGCCAGCCCCCATCACTCAGATGTCTCCAGCAGTTGGTCAGAAACCTCCATTCCAGTCAGGGGTGAGTGATTGGTTTGTGACTTTCATTTGTTAATTACAAAGTATGCATGTCATGTGCTATTTATTGAGAGAAATAAACACTTACATAGCTATGGTGAGAACTGGAGGACTAATCAGACTGAGTCTGAAAAGTGAGGCTCAGGTGACAGTGATCTCCTAGAAGAAAAGGGATGGAGAGAGCAGTCCTATGTAGAGGAAAGCAAAGGGCCCACTGTGCCATCCAACACTGAATGTTCTGACTGTCATAGAAAGATGATTTTTGGCCTCTAGTGAAACGAACATCCTAATTATAAGAGTGAAACAATAAGCTTTTACTTTTACATTTACAGATGCATTACGTTCAGGACAAATTATTTGTTGGTCTGGAACATGCTGTACCTACATTTAATGTGAAGGAGAAGGTGGAAGGGCCTGGTTGCTCCTATTTGCAGCATATTCAGATTGAAACAGGTGCCAAAGTCTTTCTTCGTGGAAAAGGCTCAGGTTGCATAGAACCAGCATCAGGCAGAGAAGCTTTTGAACCCATGTACATCTACATCAGGTATGATGAGGCTCCTTAAAACACAAACATCACCAGCAGGTTGCTGGTTGAAGAAGTAGCTCCCCAGGTTGGTATAAATGTTTGTGCTTATGAATTTTTCTGTTTGTTTTCAGTCACCCAAAGCCAGAAGGTTTGGCAGCTGCTAAAAAGCTGTGTGAAAATCTGTTGCAAACTGTGAGTAGTTCTTAGAAATTTCAGAGATTATCTAGCTTTAGCTTTAAACAATGTCCAGAGGCACACAGTCTCTTTCTCCTAAAGAGATTGTTATGTTTGGCACCAAAAGAATGTTCATGATCTCTCACACATGCAAAATTCATTTCTCAGTCTTTGTAACTTGAATGCAACAAAGTAGACTACTCAAAAGAGAGTAAAATCTTGTCAGACAGAGCCTTTCTGTAGCCCATATCCAAATACAGATATTAACAAATATGTCTGGGAGCTTCTAGATGCTTTAAGTATTTTGTTTTTAACAAAGTAACTCCCTTGCCATGCTGTATATCCTGTGAAAGGCCTTCCTGTATTTTACACAAATGTGTGACTCAGACCAGCAGGATCAGTGGTTTGTTCAACAGGGTTTTGATAGGTTTTGCTTTGAATTCCTGATTTTTTTCAGTTTACATGTTTGGATTCTTGCTATGCCTTTTGTGTGCAGCATATTCTGTAGTCGAAGTTCCCTTGTGGTTTTATGAGGATAAATAGTTAGCTGCCCTTTTCCTGCAAGCGAGCAATGCAGGAAATGGATGCTTACTTTCTCACCTTCAAACATCCTTTGTAGGTTCATGCTGAATACTCTCGATTTGTGAATCAGATAACTACAGCTGTACCTTTAGCAGGTAATGTTGGCAATACTGAAACCTTTGGTGTTGTGTTTTGTGGAGCTCGGTTTGGTGGAATGCTTTTATCTGTGGAAGTCTTTGTGTTTTGCTCCTTGTGTCATGAAGCAGTTGTGTTTCTTTTACACTTGGTAATTAATTCACTATTTTTGTGACTCTTGGCTGCATTAACGATGACCCTTTTTTCCTTCTCTTCTCTCTCCAGGCTTTGCACAGCCTGCTGCTATCAACAGTGTTCCTTCTCAGCCATCATATTACCCTTCCAATGGATATCAGTCTGGTTATCCTGTTGTTCCCCCTCCTCAGCAACCAGTTCAGCCTCCATATGGTGTACCAGGCATAGTTCCACCTGCAGTGCCAATGGCACCAGGAGTCCTAACAACACTACCTACAGGAGTTCCACCTGTGCCAACACAGTATCCAATATCTCAAGTACAGCCTCCAGCCAGCACTGGGCAGGTACTGCTAAGATGAAGAATGTGCCTTATAGCTGTCAACTTCCTCAGCTGTTTCTTTGCTAACAATTACATACTTGAAGTACTTCCAGATGGAAAACTATTTAGGGCACACAAAGGCAATATCTGGGGTTGTTGCTTTGATGCTTTTGTCCAAGCAACTTATTTTTTTTGTATGACAGTTTCAGGCTGCATTTCTTTTCATATTGTACCCTGCTAACATGAGGGGTGCTTGCAGGGAGGTGTCACCTATTCTTGAGAAACATTATTGTAGGCATTGTGGGTGCAGGGAGCCTGAGCTACAGGCAGGGATTACTTAGAGCTGGGAGCATTCTGCAATTCAAGTACTTGTCTTTTAAATTAGGCATTTCCTTTTCTCACCTCTCAGGTTCTGCAAAGAGAAACTGGTTGTGTTTTTTCTGATCATCTCTGTATGAAACTGTACGTGGAATTAACTTGATAATACTCATATGAAGCATTATCTTCTTTGTTTTTAATTTCTGCGTGCCAGAGTCCACTGAGTGCTCCTTTCCTTCCTGCTGCTGCCCCAGTCAAAACAACCCTGCCAGCTGGTACACAGCCACAAGTCCAACCCCATCCCCAAGGCCAAAAGAGGCGCTTCACCGAGGAACTGCCCGATGAGAGGGAGTCAGGACTGCTGGGATATCAGGTGGAATAAAATCAGCAATTTTACTTCATTCAACAAAATGGAACTTGGCTGGAGAAGAGGGATGGTTATTTAGCACAGCCTATTTGAGAAAATTCAGGCAGGCCCTTTGGCAGGCAGCAGTGATGGTTGCAAAACATTGAGACCACGCTTCCATTTCTTTGAGCTGATGCACTGCTCTCAGGCTGAGGTATCTGATGGCATTGACAGCTTGCTTTCCATGCCTGTGTTCTTTCATGAAGAGCAGCAGTGCATTCAGTCAAAGATATGGCAGCAGCGTGTGCCTGGTTAGTTGAAAGTGAGATGATTTGTTATTATTTTTTTCTCCCTATTTGCTTTATTGTGGGTCTTTTGAATGGGCTTCTTTAGAGGGAGGGAAAGTGGTTATAACGTCCATGTTTTCCCATTTCCCTTTCTTGCAGGCAGCACTTAAGAGGATTTCTAGAAGCCTAGTTTTGAGAGTGATTGTTTATTCATTTTAGACAGCAAAAGTTACTGAGTTTATGTTAAATAACTTTGAGCTTTTCACCAGGCTTCTATGTGAGAAAATGCAGGTTCTGCAAATGCTCATAGGCAGAACCCATTCATAAAAGCTTGGTCTAAGAAAATAAAGATCTGCTTAAGTGTCAGATCTTATATTAATGTATGTCAAGCAAAGTTTACTCTGGCATGAGGCATCTAAGAGTATTCAAAATTAGCTGATTGAGGAGATAATGAGTCAATCCATGAATAAACAGCTATCATCTCTGTCCTGGAGTACTGGGATGGTGGACTGGGTGCTGAAGTGACTTCTACAGTGGTGCTCAGGAATGTTTTTTACAACTTTACCCTCAGTATTTTTAGGAAAGAAAAAAAAAAAAAGCATTTTATTGAACAGTGGTGATTAGTGGCTGCTCCTAGTAGTTGGCAGTGTACTCTGAAAAGTTGGGTTTCCTATCAGTATCATTAAGGAGCTGTAGCTTGTGTTGTAGTTGTAGATTTGCTAATGCCGTGTGTTTTTCTGCTCATAGCATGGACCCATTCATATGACTAATTTAGGTACAGGCTTCTCCAGTCAGAGTGAAATCGATGGAGCCGGGTCGAAGTCAGCAAGTTCCTCAGGAAAGGAGAGAGAGAGGGACAGGTATGGAACGAACCCTGTGTTGTATTTGCTGTTACCTTTGTTCATTTTCATCCTTTTTAAAGAGTGCAGTGAGCCCAACTAAAAGTTAATGGCAAGGACTGTGTTTTGAGTTTGGTTGCTGTTATCTTTGTGCTTGCTCTGAAAAAATAAATAGAAGGTAATGAAGGTTTGCTTTTGTTTGAACAGGCAGTTGATGCCTCCACCAGCTTTTCCTGTCACTGGGATGAAATCAGAATCTGAAGAAAGAAATGGTGTGGGGTCTTTACCAAGCAGCCATGGTGAGTGCAATGAGTAGAAGCTGTTTGTCAGTCGAGTTTGCAGTGGTCTTAATGCTCATTTACATTGGTGATTGTTTTTTTTTGTGTCCTTTTTACTGCATTCAGTAAAAGGGAGGTCATTGCTCTGTTCTAAAATCACTGTGATTGTACACATGATGCTTTAATAAATACCTCTATGAATGATGAGGGTGTGAAGAAGGCAGAAGGGCTGAGCTTTGACTCACAGTCAGCACAGAATCTCATGGGATTGCTCTGTAACAGATGTCATGTGGCTTTACGTTGTGTACAGCTATCTCTAGGAGCACTGAGGAGTATCAGTGGCAGTTATGGTTCAGGTGTGTATTTACAGACATGAGTTCTGTCAACCCTGTCTGCAAACAGAAGTGTTGTTAGATTTCATCCTCTCATAGAGGAGGATACCACACATCAGGTATTTGCAGCTTGGTAAAACATGGAATCACTTGAACTCTCCTGGTAGTTTAGTGCCTTCCATACCAGGTCTGCAGGTACATCATGTTAGTTTGTTTAACCTTAGTTTTTCTGCAGTATTGCTCCCAGAGATTGTTCTTCTGCTAGCTTTCTTTTGAGCAAAAATTCTACTTTTCTTTACGTATTGATCTCTAAAACGGTGCAATTGCCATCACTTTGACCCATTTGCTAACTTTACCTTTCTTGTGTGTTTCTTTCTTTCTTTTCTCTGTTCTCTTACATGGTTCTGATGGATCACATGTGCTGTTGCTGCTGCTGTTTCATCTGGCCTTCGACCTTGGATGACCATTGGCCTTGTGACCTCAAAATGGTGTCCAACTAACGATTTACAATTAACATCTTTTTTTATTAACTTGTTTTGGGGCATTTTATCTCTCTCTATTTTTATTTTTCCTTTTTGGGGGCTGGGGGGATTGTTCTGTTTTTCCCCCCCTCTAGATCATCAAGCAAAGAAGATGAAAACATCCGAGAAAGGCTTTGGATTGGTGGCATATGCTGGAGATTCATCAGATGAAGAGGAGGAACACGGTGGCCATAAAAATGCAAGTACTTTTTCACAGGGGTGGAGTTTGGGATACCAGTATCCTTCCTCACAACAGCGAGCCAAACAACAGATGCCATTTTGGATGGCACCATAGAAGCTACAGAACTGTCTCTTCATTCATCTCTCTTTTTTTTTTTTCCCTCTAGCAATAATGCATGTATATTACAAAAGGAACTTTGCAAATATGCATTGTTTTTACATTTGCAGAAGCTAAAGGTTCAGTATTCCGCCTTGAAAGGGCTCCATTATTTTTAAACTCTTTATTTCTGCAGTGAATTTGTCATCTATGAAAACCATTTGAAATAGCATTTGGACAGGGCCAGTCCCTCACAGCGTGGGGGAGGTTTTGGAAAGAGAAACCTGTCGCTCTGTGTTTCCCATTTTTCCAGGGTAACAAAAAAAACAAGGATACTGTCAGCCACGCTGACTTCACCACCCATCTGGTGTTGTATTTTATTTAGTGCTCCTGCTGTCAGCCTGTGCTCACAGTCCCATTAATGGTGACTGTGGATTCAGTGTTTGGACTTTCGACAAAGGAAAGCAGTTATCAAATAGTTCAGAGAAATTTGCTGGATGACGTTTCTTGAAGTTGATAATTTTGCTTTTACTTTAAGCATCTCCTGTTGTAACTCCACATTGTGTTTTTTCTTTGCAATGTGGTTTCTCTAACCCCACGACCTCTGGTTCCAGCCAAGTGCTGGGGGGAGGGGGGAGGGATGGGGGTTGTTTTGTCCTTCGTGGGTTCATCCTGCTGCTGCCCCCAGCTGCTGTGCTGCTGTCACACAGATGCTCCCCCACCTCCAGCAATCCCTGCCTCCTTCATTCTGCTCAGCAGTTCGTATGGGACCTCTCCTCTCCGGGTTCTCCAAGCTTTTCCCACTCTCTTAACTCGCTTTGATTCCACCCGTTCTGTTTCCCGGTGCTCAACAAACAAGGAGAGAAAGGCAGCGGGTCGCTTTGGTGCAGCGCAGAGCTGTGCCTGCAGGCGCTGCTCCCACTGTGAACCGCTGGAAGTGGAGTGTGAATATATTTTTATGGACACAAAGCACAACGTGGGCGTTGGTGGCAGGGCAGGGTGCTGCAGAGCTCGTGGGCTGTGGGACATCATCAGCTCCTGGAACAGCACTGATAGCTCCCTGGTGCTGGGAGTGGCTGGCACCTTTGTACAAACATTGACTTTCCTATGTCTTGTAAATAATTAAGACCCATGCTTTCATTATAAATAAATGTATAAATGATGTATAAATGCGCTGCTGCTCGTCTCGCCTTTGTTTTGGTGAGCTCAATGCCCCATCCCTGGAGCTGTTCAAGGCCAGGTTGGATGGGGCCCTGGGCAGCCTGGTGTAGCATTAGGTGGGAAGGTTGGTGGCCCTGCATGTGGCAGGGGGTTGGAGATTCGTGATCCTTGAGGTCCCTTCCAACCCTGGCAATTCTCTGAGCTGCGCCTTTAATTCCAAGTCAGGGAGGGGCGGGGCCAAGGGGCCTCGCTGTCATGTGACCACGCGACGGGGCGTGGCTACGAGGGGGGCGTGGTTAACGTGGGCGTGGTTTCGCGCGGGGCGGTCTTTCTTTGGCGCGGCCCCGCCGCCATTTTGGGGTCGCCGCCTGAGCTCGGCGCCGGGCCGCGCGGTTGCGGCGGCGCGAAACGCGTCACGGAGCGGCGTGAGGTGAGCGTGGAGCGGAGCGGCGGGGCCGCGCTGAGGGCTGCCGGGCTCACGCCGCTTTCCTCAACCTCAGAAGCGGCGGCGGTTCGATCGGCGCTGAGGAGATGGACGCCGGGGCCCGGCCGGGCGGCGCGGGGCAGCCCCGCGAGTACAAACTGGTGATGTTGGGCGCCGGCGGCGTCGGGAAGAGCGGTGCGTGCGGGACGCGGGGCGGTGCGGGACGCGGGGCCGGGCGCTTCCCGCGCTGTGAGGGCGGAGCTCCGCTCTCTGCCCGTCGGGGCCGCGTTGCCCCGCGCTCAGCGCCGTTCCTTTTGCAGCCATGACGATGCAGTTCATCAGCCATCGCTTTCCCGAGGACCACGATCCGACCATCGGTAAGAACGGCTCGTCCCCCCCCCGCCGTCCGATGCTTTGAAGCCGTTACCGCATCGGGTTCCCTTTGCGTAACGTTCCCTTTGCGTGTCGGTGATTAACCGACGGTGTTTGCGATGGCGTTGACGATTTGTTCTCCCCGAATTGTGCTGCTGCGAATCCAGAGGATGCTTATAAGATCCGGATACGCATCGATGATGAACCTGCCAACCTGGATATCTTGGACACAGCAGGACAGGTTGGTGAGCACCACTGAGAGCATGGGAGGCTGCAGAGGGCAGAGAGAGAGAGAAGTCCACGGCAGTCTGCCTCTCTGTTCTTCTGAATGGCCTTTTAGAGCTGTCTTAATTCATCTGCGTGCTCACAGCTTCGCTCCCATGCTGTGTTTAGGCAGCTCAGGCAGCTTTCTTACTTCTTGTTGCTCTCTCCGTTGGCTTCTCGCTGCTCACGCTCAGCAAGTGATGTGTAATGGCTTAAATACACAGAGCCTTTGGATTGGTTTGAGACTGGGAGGTTTAGGTTGGATATTAGGAGGGAGTTTTTCACCCAGAGGGTGGTGATGCACTGGAACAGGTTGCCCAAGGAGGTTGTGGATGCCCCATCCCTGCAGGCATTCAAGGCCAGGCTGGATGTGGCTCTGGGCAGCCTGGGCTGCTGGTTGGTGACCCTGCACACAGCAGGGGGTTGAAACCAGATGATCATTGTGGTCCTTTTCAACCCAGGCCATTCTATGATTCTATGGATCCTAATGGCACCCCATGGATCCTAATGGCACCCCATGGGTTCTCTGGGCAGCCTGGGCTGGTGGTTGGTGACCCTGCACACAGCAGGGGGTTGAAACCTGATGATCACTCTGGTCCTTTTCAACCCAGGCCATTCTGTGTTTCTTTGGGTCTCTATGAGTCTCAGTGGGTCTCTGTGTGTCCCTATGGGGGATCTGTGGGTCCCTATGGGTCTCTTGGTGACCCTTCACACAGCAAGCGGTTGGAACCAGATGATCATTGTGGTCCTTTTCACTTCAGGCTATTTTGTGATTCTGTGGGTCTCTAGGAGTCTCATTGGGTCTCTGTGTGTCCCCTTGAGTCCCTATGGGGGATCTATGGGTCTCTGTTGGGGTCTGTGGGTCCCTATGTGTCTCTTGGCAACCTTGCACACAGCAGGGGGTTGGAACTGATGATCACTGTGGTTCTTTTCAAGCCAGACCATTCTGTGATTCTATGATTCCATGACTCCCTTCTTAAGCTTAATGGAAATCTCCCCTCTTTTAGTTTGATACCGTTTGCCTCAGTCTCGTCACAGCAGACTCTGCTAATGAGTCTGTCCCCTCCTTAATTACAGCCTCTTTAGAAACTGAAAGGCTGCTCTCAGCTTTTCACGCTGAGCAGCCCCAGCTCTCCCAGCCTGTCCTCTTAAGGAAGGTTGCATCCCTTGGATCATTCTACAAATACAAAATATGTGCTTACGTTATTTCTTTACCAAGGGAAAGATGGTGTTGATCCCATAGAGTTTTGTCTTGTGTGTAAAAGGATGAGGAGAGAGATGACAATTTTGCACAGCATCCCTACGCCGCCGATTTCGGAATGCATTTCTTGTTTCCAATTAGAAAATGGTTGTGTTTGTGTCACGTTCTGTTTGTAGGCAGAGTTCACAGCCATGAGGGACCAGTACATGAGGGCTGGAGAGGGATTTATCATCTGCTACTCCATCACAGATCGACGCAGCTTCCACGAAGTGCGTGAATTCAAGCAGCTCATCTACCGTGTGCGGCGCACCGACGACACTCCTGTGGTTCTGGTGGGGAACAAATCCGACCTGACGCAGCTGCGGCAGGTGTGTGGCTCCCAAAGAGGCTCCCCCTCCTGCTTCTGCTTCCAAATGCAGTCATAGAAGAGATCAGGTTCTTTTGGATTCACTCTGTAATAAGCTGAACACGAGAGCGGTATGAATTGAAGCTGGAGTGCTGAATAACCAAATGCATTTAACCACCGTGGGAGTGAAATCTTCCAGTTGATGCTTTGAGTTTCAGCTGCTCTTAGGCTTTTCCTGTCTTTATTTCCTGAAAAGAGATACTCTTAATGGAGGTACAGCACTGCTGTAGGGTGAAGCTAGATGATCATTGTGGTCCTTTTCAACCCGGGCCATTCTGTGATTCTATGATAATATGATAAATCACTTGCAAATATTACAAATCAGAGGATGCAAGTCTGCTAAGAAAGGAGGTGTCATTAATCATGGGGATAAGAATGCACAGAAAGGAAAGTGAGCTTCAGCTTAAGGAAAAGTAAGCTTCAGCGTAACTCTTGTCTGTGGGAAACAATTTGAAGCAGAGCTTCAGAGCAACAAAAAAAAACAAATTGCAGAGGTGTTTGTGTGCCTGGAGTCAGGTGGTTTTTCAGTGTGTGTTGTGGCAGGAGTGTTACTGAGGTGGAACCCATACCAAGGTGTGGAGCAGAGGAGAGGGAGTGGGCAGAGCTTTAGTGATCAGGGGAAAGAATCCCCCAAACTGACAAACACTCATCCTGGGCTGAGGGCTGCTGCATCAAGCAGGCCAGGATTACATTCCGAGAAGGGAATTCTCTCTGAAAGGCTTTTCTTGTTTTCTGAATGATCAGAGTTGCTGTGTCTGGAGAGTATCTTACAAATGGTTACGTTGCTTCTGAAATGATGGATGGAAGAGAAGGGGATTTGTAGAGAAAGATGCAGACATCAGTGGAGGTGGGCAGTTCTGGAACTGGGAGGGTGCGCACCCAGCTCTGGGCTGAGCAAAACAAGAAGAGAGAAAGGATGAATTTGTCTGGTTTTGGCTTTCTTGACAAGCGTGGGTTTTTTTCAGGTCTCTAAAGAAGAAGGCTCTGCTTTAGCACGAGAATTCAACTGTCCTTTCTTTGAAACTTCTGCTGCGTACCGTTATTATATTGATGATGTGTTCCACGCTCTGGTGCGAGAAATCCGCAGAAAAGAAAAAGAAGCAGTGATGGCAATGGAAAAAAAATCCAAACCCAAAAACAGCGTTTGGAAAAGACTGAAATCCCCGTTCAGGAGGAAGAAGGATTCGGTTACTTGAAGAGAAACAATTCCTCTGTAAGAGAAAACCTGGGAGCAGCCACTCGTAACCAAAGCGGTTGAATGACAACATTTCAGCAGTAGGTTTAAAGACTGATGGGACTTCTGTGAGGGGGAGCATCATTTTTACCCATTATTTTTGCTTAAAACGGTATTCTCTTAGTTCTGGATATTTAATTTGAGACACGGTAACAATTTGACTTCTGTTTGTTGTCATTTTTAGATCGGATTCTCCAAATACTGCTTTTATGTTGGTTACAGATGCTGGTGGGTTTCTGACGCTGCACTTTTAAATGTTTGGTCACTGCATACTGGAAGTTGAGTTGTTTTAAGAAGAAAAAAGATGCTGAATTTCTACCCAGCTTAACTTAATTCATTCTGTTTCTCAGTTGTTTGCACAACAGAATGTTGCTGCATTCCCAGACAGTCACTCCCATCACCAGAGGAGGATTTTGTTGAGGTTGTGCTGAAAAGTGCTCAGCAAAGTGTGTGACACCACAGCCCGGGCTGCGTGCAGATGGCAGTGAGTGGAGATGTGTGCTTTGTTCTCATGGAAAAGGATTTTTCGAGCAAAAAGTTCACCTGAACAAGCAGTGAACCCACAGCGTGATGGTTGGGATCCTCAACAAGTCAAAAACAGCAAATTATTGTTCCTCTGGCAGCTATAACTTGGCAGCAGCGTGCGGATGTGTAGCATTGTCCCTTCATTTAGCATTGATGGCGTTGTTGGAGTGTTTGTAGCTGATGCTGTGGATGCTCTGCAAACTGCAGCTTTGGATTTTTCTGACCTGTTTGTTGAAACTGTAGCTGTGATGGTGCAGTGGCATATTTATTTGCGTTCAGTTTTATATGGTTGTCTTAAAGGAGACAGTATTATTGAGTAGGAGTCTCTAACATAGTCATTTCAGATTAATCTATGATAACTGTTTTGTACAGAAGACTGAAAGTGAGGCACTGGGGCTTGAACTGATCTTCCCTAATGCTGGTGAGGTTCTTCAGTGCTGCCTTAAAGGTGGGATCAGCAGAAAGGAGCAGTGAGTGGGGCATAGCAGCATAGCTGGGCATTCCCACCCAACCATCAGCACATCCTTCCTCCTTGGGGATGATTTGACACGTACACTGCTTACAGGATTTAAATCCAGAGCTGTTGTTGCAATACAAAAAGCTCACAGAGAGATGGATGTCCAGGGTTGTTTTTTAAATGATACAGAAAATCATAGGTGACTCAGATGGGTTTAAAAGGCCTTTCTCAGAGAACAAAGTGCCTCCAGTCTTTCTGTTTAGTGATGAGAGAGCTTAGCAGACTCTAAGTGCAGTATTACTCAAGTGCTTCTCTTAATCTTTGAACCTCTGTGTCAGTAGCTGTTAATCTCACTGACCCAAAGGCCTTGTAGTGCCTCTCAGTGTGCTGCCATCAGAACTGAAACAGGTTGTTGGATGTGTAAAAAAAAATCTGGCACAAAAAAAAAATGAAGATAACGAATATACAGACCCTAATTTTAGGCTTTTTTCTTTCTACACTCCTTACTGTGTAAGATATCACTGGAACTTCTGTGCCTGGTGCTTCTAAGGGTATTTTCTTTGTGTAAGGTTTCATGAGGAAGTGGGGAGGGGTGAACAGTTTGATGCTGTGTTTGTAGCCTAGCTCAGCATTGGAATGGATTTCTATTTCTCACTTCCTTCCAGAACTGCAGTGTTAAGCTGTGCTGGTAATCATCACTGATTGCAGAGCAGGGAGAATAAGTGGGGTTATTGGGAATGGAAGAGCTCTCCTCAATTCACCATGCGTGTCGTGCTGCCTTTACTGCAGTTACTGCTTTGGAACTGCAGCTCTGTTAGTCACTCCTTGTTGGATTAAATGCCATCTAAAACTGATAGATAAAACCCAGGGACAGCAGCAGGGTTAGGAGCAGTTCTGATTGCTTTGTGGCAATGATTACTTTCAATCTCAGGCAGTGTGCTGGGAGCTGTGCAAGCCCAGTTCTCCCCATCCCCTGTCTGTAATGTCTGTGCCTTACACCATCCCTTCAATGCAACATATATGTTTACTAATGCCTTTTATGAGCCTGTTGCTTCTAGAATTACTAAATCAGAACAGCAGCAAAGCACTTTTTTTTTTTTTTTACAGTGTTATTCAAAAGAAAAACAAAGTTTTATTTTTGTCATGTATAAATTTGTACACGGGATTATCGTTTTATTTGACACAATATAGAGTTTTTAATACAAAATTGGTGTTGGGTGTTTTATTTCGTGGTGTGGAACTTCCCCCCATTTTGCTACACACGTGAGACTGAGGTAGGGGAGGAAAACTCAAGGGGTGCTTTTAAGTGAGCTTGAAAAGTGCTCATCTTACTGTTGGGAGTCTTGGAAGTAAAAAAAGAAATAAGAAATGTAAAAAAAAATGGATGTTTATGGTTAAAACTTAAGAATTTGGATGCTTTGTCTCCTTAGGAGCGATGTGACGGACGCTGAGTTCTGCTGCTCCACGGCTTGGACCAATCCATCCAAAGTGAACAAGTTAAGTGTATTCAGGGACAGGGAGCTCTTTACTTTGCTTTATCCCCATCATATTTCACTAACTGCAGGACATGGAGCTCAGCCCAAAGGAAAAGGCTCTTCTTGCTTTGGGTTGGTTTTGGCTACGTGGCTTTTGGCTGTAAGGCAGAACACATTTCCTGGCTGATGCTCATACTTAAAGTTTATAAGAATGGAGGTATTATGCTAAGATCTAGAGCCAAATGGGGGAAATTCCAATTAAGTTGGAGGCAGATGGCTCAGGGCTTTGCTTTTAGGTTCATCCCTGGAATTTGGAAGCCATTAAGGACTGGTTCCAGCGCTGGCCCTTTTGTAACCAGCGTGGAAATATCTGTGGAATGAAAAAAATGAACACCACAGCATTCCCTGAAGTCCAGTGTGATTGTCAGATGCCATTTGTCTGCCATCTGAATAGCTACAGGAGTATTTTGTGTGCAACAGCTCAACCTGATGGAGGCTTTGACCTCTGAGAGGCAGTCTGTGCTGCAGGAAGTCATACCACCGTGTGCCATTGTCTGAGCCCCCAGGAGCTGGGAGATGCAGCAAATATGTTCTGTATGGCAACAGAGGGAGAGTTTCATTGCTTTGTCCTGCCCCTGAGGCCACACTTGGAGGTGTTTAAGGCAGAAATCACTGCCATCAGTTCACAAACATCCCCAGGAATGAAGAAGTCACAGCTCAGGTGGGCCCAACGCTGCCACACTGTGTGTGCAGCTGAGCAAATTTTACTGTTTATTGTCTGCTTGGACTCCACTAAGAAAAGCTTTGCTGTGTGCTGTTGTGCTGATACAGCTTTACTTTCCTGCTTCTATTGCAGGAATGCAGAACCACAGCACCTTCTTGCTGCCGATAAAGGTTGCTGACATAATAAAAAGTTGCTTACAAGTATGCAAAATTGGTAACATTTCAAAACGTGGATGTTAATTACATGTACCTGAGAGCTGAACAAAAAAAACCCTGCAGATGAAGGTGGGTATCTGGGTCAGGGGAGCGTGCTGCCATGCCTGCTCCTTTACACACCCATAAATGTGGCTGCGAGGAACAGTAGGAGATTTGAGATGTTCCTTTTCCTTCAGCACAAACGTTCTGGTTTGCATTTTGCCACAGCAGATGAGTGACACTGGAATGTTTCATAGACTGAGGTCATTCCTTGCAGTGAGGCTGCGTGGAAACACGTGATGGGGATTTGCATTGGAGCAGCTGAGCCACTAGATGGCTGATGGTGGAAGAGGTGATCAGCATCGTTCTGGATGGGAAGGTTAGAACTGACACGCTTTTCTTTGCTAAATCCTGCAGACAACTTGAATGGTCTATGAAGAAATAAACCATAGGAGTACAGGGAAGCTGGATTTCTGGCTGTGAAAACTTAAATTTGAGGTATGTTATGTGAGGATGACTTGGAAAGGATGAAAACATACAAAGCTTATTATGTGGCTGAAATGTGAAGCTTGCTAAGTGGAACCATACTCATATGATAGACCATACCATGCCCATACTCATCCTGTTTAGGAGAGTTCCTCTCTGGAATGTTCCTTCTTGTGTATTTTAGGGAAGTCTATCGACTTTAAGAGCAATGAGAGTGTACCAAAGGAAGCAGATTCTAAACTTGCTGAAAATTAAACCAAACCCAAATGAAACGACTCAAGGAGTGTCTGCCTGCTCACTGCACTGCCTTCCTCCCTTTCCTGGCATTTCCCTTTTTGTCACTTCCTCACTTTCTCTTCCATATTTCTTAGCATGTGTTTCCCTTCCATTCCATTTTTTGATGAGCCTTGTAGGCAGGTAAGGCATCTTCTGAAGGACCCCAGAAAGAAGGAAGTAAACACAGGAGTTCAAACAACACACGTGAAAGAAACCCAGGAATGTGTCACGTTCCAATCCTGCAGAGGTACCCCAGCTTTCTGTGCTGTGGGTTCTGAGTGAGAGCACATTTTATGAGCACATCAGTAACAGTGCCTGCATGGCGGGCCTCTCATCCATCTCAAAGCAGTGGAATGACTTTCTAAATGATTGGTATCCAAAGGCTGCTTGTAAACAAGGTGGAAGAGGAGGACTGAAGCATAAGGCACTGCTGGGGATGGATGAGCTGCTATTTCTGACTGCCTGTTAAAGGAAATACCAGCAGATCCCGTCTGTCATCAAAAAGTAACTCGCATTACCATGGTAACTGGTCTTGCTCCTGTGTTGCTTTAGGAGAGGTAGAAGCTGTTGGAAAAGGAAGGGCCCAATTAATGCTGCCAGAGAAGGACTGCAAAAATCCTATTCATTTCAATGGCATCAGCAGCCAGAGCCAGAGAAGGTGGGAAGAGCCTCTGAGCAGAGCTTCCATGCTTTCCCTGAAACGTTTCTCCTTTCATGGTTTGTCAGACCCATTCTGTTTGCTTCTTTTCTTTTTCTTATGCAAATCCTTTTGTTTCTGCTTTAGCTGAATGGTGTAAGAACCTGAAATGGGATGTTTGTGAAAGCTGTGCCCTGTTAGAGGTAGAAGCCAAGCAGAGAATGGTGAGGAGAGGTTTTCTTTCACATCTTGCACAGTGCAAAGCTGCCACTCTGCCAACCACAGTCATTACAGTAATAAATAACCGACAGTGCTTAAACACTGTGATCAACTGCAGTGTGGGCAGCAAGGTAAGGATGGGTAAAGCCATTTTGTGCTCAGGATGGAGGGCAGCATTTTGGAATATCCTTACCTCTTGGATGTCTTTGTGCTTTCTCCTTCCTAAATGAACCATTCCCTTCCGGTGGAAAATGGTGTCTGAGGAGCTGTGGCATTTGACTGCATTCCATTTTCGGAGACATTGGAAGATCTTTATGGGCTGAAACCACCAAGATCTTAAAGAGGAGACCTGAAGTTCCCATGAAGCTTATTTCAGGTGCTCAAATCCCTCAGCCACCTCTGGATCCCCATCCTTTGTTGCAGGGGAGACTATCGGGCCGTGCTGGAGAGTTTCTGTAGCCACGTTGCTGTGGAAACACAGTTTGGTATTCTGCAGTATTTGGTGTTTTCTAAAGCCGTGGCTTTGTGCCCAGCAGTGCTGTGCTCTGTGGTAGTGATGGGAGCTGCAGAAGCTGCATTACAGAGCGCTGCGCCTCGGGACGCACCATTGTATCTCACAGTGACACGGACAAAAGTGTTCCTGAAAAAAAGCAGCTCTGCCTGGGAATCCAGGAATGTGTCTGAACCACAAATAAAAGAATCAAATTCTGCTTTTCTTCAAAAATTCTTTTACCGACCAGATTCTTTTTTGCCCATTTATTCCCCTTTAGATGCCCATTCACATGAAATTACAGCCGTGGAGAGGCTCAGGGATGACAACAGTTCTCACATGTGCTGATGTTTAAGTGACAGCAGTGCATTTCATTTGCTGGGGTTTTGCTCTCTCTGTATTTCTGAGCTATGCTCTGTGCAGGTTTGTTTCCACCTGCGCTCCAACACAGCACAGCCACCATCTAAAGTGATTTAAGTTTTATTTCCACGCTCAATGTGCGTTAACAAATTCAACATACAAGATAGCATTACATAATGTCAAGTAGCTTCTAGCATTATGCAGTTTCACACATGTTGAGTTAGGTTTTTTGCCTTTTTTTTTTTTTTTTTTCCACACAACGCTGTAACTGTCCAAGTTAATTTTACAATAGAAGACACAAGGTAAAGAATAACCACATCTGGGAGATTTTACAGTGAGTCCGCTGTCACTTACTGTCTATTTTACGTTTTAAAAAATATATATCTGCACATCTTCAGTTTCCTATTATTCCAGAAGCGTTGGAGCTATTCCTATCTGCCCGATAGCCTAAGACTATTTACCCTGAGCATGTTTCCTTGACAAGAAGTTCATCTTTCCTTCTCAACTAAAGGAATCTTATAGAGATCATCTAGGCTTACGCATGCTTCTCACACTGAAGGGAAAAAAAAAGGGAACTTTGTGTTGCTTTCTTCTGTTCTGGTGATTGGATTTGCTTAGAAAGAAAAAGTTGTGATGATTCCTAAACTTGCTTAGTGCAAAAAGCAGGACTGGAATAAACCTATGGCTGTTTCTGAAGGAGAGCTCTGGTTTGTGGCTGTAAGGGACAAAGATAACGTCTGCTGTAACCTCAGGCAGTAACACTTGTAATTGGGATTGACTGAACACAAACAGAAGTCCGTGCTCCCATCTGCCACGCAGGGCTGAGAAACAGAGCCACAGCTTCAGTGTGACTTCTCTTCTAAAAAGACATTTTGCCTAGAAGGAATTTCAATGAGAAAGTGGCTACGAGTGAGAAAATTCAGCTTTCTAAGAGCAATTTCTAAGGGAGAGATGCCAAAGGGTTGCCAATGGACCAAGCACTGACTGTGAACAGCCACCCCAGCAGCAATGCTTTACTTTGTGGTTGGAAAGGAAACCGACTAAGACTTGCTCAATGAATCTACTTTCATTAGGAAGAAGGTGGAATGGATCATTTTTCCATCAGGGCTCTAAAACTCAATAGCCAAGTCCTGCAAATAGTTCAGCTATCTTAGAAGTGTTTAATTACAACACACTATTTACATCCCACATGGCACAGAACAGACGGGCTGCCTGGAAGCAACCTCACAAACACTGCAACCTCGCAGTGCCTCCCTGCAAGCTCAGTTCTGCTTTGTGTTTCCATTGCAGAGCACGGAAATGCTTTGAATTTCTGCTGCTTGTTGGGACTATTTACTCTCCTCTCAACAATGCTTACAACTAATTACTTGCTGCTGATTATCATCCTTTTGTCTTTCCTGGCTTGAATGTAGGAAGAAGCCCAATCAAGTTACTCACCAAGATCCTCCTGGCTAATAACATCTTGGTGGATGTTGTCTCACTATAAAGTGAGATTGAATGCAGCTGTTTCCAAATTTCAGTTATATATTGGTGGAACTTTGTGAGCTTCAGCTCAGAACTGCTGAGTGTTTGGAGCTGGCAGCCTGAAGTGCTGCAGTCCACGTTTATGGAGCAGCATTGTTGCATTTCAGAGGTGACAGAATGCATATTCCAAGTCTCAGAAATGGTGTGCACAATTTCAGAGCTAACTCAAGCTGCTCTGAAATTCTAAAGCTTAACTGCTTGACCAGTTTGACTTTGTGTCAGAACAGACCTTGCCCTGTGTTACTCTTTTTGGAGAGCTGTCCTAGATCATGCAAATTGACTCACTTTGAACCTAAGGGAAGCTCTGTGAAGATTTCACTTCACGCCTCTCTCCCCAGGCTATTCTCCTATCTCATCACATTATGCTGCTATTACAGAACTTACCAATCCTGTGGAATTTCAGATCTAATGTTTAAAAGAACCAGCAAGATTTTCCTTAACAAACAGCGCCGTGTCAGGTTTTGTTGGGCCCTTCACACACAGGGTTAAATAAAATGCAGTATAGTGGAACTGCCAGGATCGTGTCTGTGCTAATTTCCACGTGGCAAAAGCAAAGTGATCCATTTGTTGGTGTATGAATTTTAGATGTGAATCTTTGAGGCTGTGGCCTTACAGCTCCAAAGCAGTGATACCACAATATAAGTCTTTCAGTACCTGATAAAGAAATTTTTTTTTGTCTCTGAAGGAAAGTGCCATTTTCCCCTGTATTTTCCTTTTGCATTAGTGCAGAATTCTAAACCACCTTCAATGGAAACGCAGTTGGTACTCCCAAACCAGCAAAGAAGAGAACTGCAAGAACCAATGGGCAGGCAAACTAACAAGAAACTAGAGGTTAAACAGCAGAATCCAGAAACTTTGGGAGAAGCCTAATAAAGACAGGCCAATTTTGGTGAATACCAGCAAAGACAGTTCGGCACAAACACAACTTCCATAGTGACAGATAATTGTATTAAAATCTGCGACTTGATATTGGTAGTTATACTAATTTCAGTTTGTATTAGGCATGCAATAGCGTGATTACACTGTTATATATATTTGTGGTATTTTTTTTTTTTTAATTTAATGCTCTTTAGAATCGTAGTGCCCTGCAAAATCACATCACTAGAGAACCCATCAGCTGCTGCTTCTTACGAAAGTTTAGTTCTACAGCTAAAACAAGGTGTAAGTCTGTTCTATGATCAGCTGCCACAACCTCTGCTAGTATTCGCTCAGGCTGTGCCATTTGGCCACCGGCTTTCTAGGATTCTCACAAACCTCTCTCCAGTGCTCCACACCAGCTGCAGTGATGCTGTGAGCTCCCAAAATCAGCCGTCCCACCACTTCGTTTTTTGTGGTACGGTCGAAATCGATGACCAGGAATTCGATGCTGATGTCAGGAAGGAGATCAACAGGGATGTCGTAAATGAAGGATTCGTTGAAGACGGGGTTCAAAGTGCACTTCTTCACGTGGGTCTTCTTTTTTGCTATGCGCTTTCTTCCGTAATAAACATTCACCTTAACGTAGGGATCTGTCAGAGAAGAGAGAAATGAACTAATAACACAGTCCAGCAATGCTCTGGAGCCCCCAGAACAACAAAGACAGAGAGGTGTTGGAGAGGGTCCAGAGGAGGCCACAAAGATGAGCAGGGAGCTGCAGCACCTCCCCTACAAAGACAGGCTGAGGGAGCTGGACTTGTTCAGCCTGGAGAAGAGAAGGCTGCAGGGTGAATCATTGCAGTCTTCAGTACTAAAGGGAGCCTATAAACAGGAGGGGAATCAACTCTTGGGAAGGGGAGATGGGAGCAAGATGAGGGGAAATGGTTGGAATTGAGGGAGGGCAGATTTCAGTTGGGTGTCAGGGGGAAATTCTTCACTATAAGAGTGGTGAGGTGCTGGAACAGCTGCCCAGAGAGGCTGTGGACGCCCCGTCCATCCCTGGAGGTGTTGAATGCCAGGTTGGATGGGGCCCTGGGCAGCCTGGGCTGCTGTGAAATGTGGAGGTTGGTGGCCCAGCCTGTGGCAGGCGGGTTGGAGCTTCATGACCCTTGAGGTCCCTTCCAACCTGGGCCATTCTGTGACCCTGTGGTTCTGGGAAGGGGTTCAGTTTGCTGATCTAGGCAGAAGTGAACTGTGCACATCTAGGTTCACACTTCAGCTCCCAAAGGATTCTCCCACTGCAGAGCAACCAGCTGACATCAGCACCTGGAGTTCTTAGCAAGTTTCAACACTGTGTGGGGAAACAGGGGAAGCAAGTGGCATACCAGCTGCAACAACTACTACTAGCAGTACCACATGGGGAGCTTTCTGGTGAGGTCAGAGGCCAACTTATCAAAGCTTTCACTGTTTGCTGTCATTTGTAAAAAGAAATATTTTACCTAATTCCAGGGAATGGTCCCACAAAGTATCAGAATAGTTTTAAGATGGGAAATGGTTGCAGTGAAAGGTATTGAAATTGAGAAAAGATGAAAGTTAAGCTTTCATTCTTCCACCAGCCTCAAGCCAATTTACTCTTTATGCCAGCATTAGGATTAAATTAATACACGTGGCATATGGTGCATACACAGCCTCTATTTTACTACACTACATATTCTTTCAGATGGACACAACAGTGTGCTGGAGCACCCCTGGGTTGTTGAGGTGTCCAGCACTTCAGCAAAGCTATGAACTGCCTTCTGTGTGGCTTTATATGGCAGAACACAAACACATTCAGGGTTGGAAAAAATAGCTTCTACCTGAGAGGCCAGTGATATCCATCTTTGGCAAATGTCTGGCTTTCAGCACCACAACAGTCATTCTCTGCGCCACGGGTTGGTAAGATAGTGAGACCTGCAGCTCTCCTCTGCTAATGCATTTCTGTGAACAAGAAACAGCAATAATTTATTAGGACAACGTGGTCTTATAAACACAGGCAAATGTTGGGGGTCACCAATATTTTCCTTTTCTTATGCTAAAGGACCAAGAAGTTGGAAAATGATTTGCGTTTCATTCTAAATACATGTTTAGCCTTAGCCACGTGAGGTCTCCAGAAGGAGAGCGATTTGCTGAAGGTAAATCATCCTCTGCTCTAAACCCTGTGCCTGCTGAGCAAAATAAGCATCACTACAGCCTTCAGTTTCTCTGGGAGCAAACCTGGAGCCATGCTCAGAGAAATCAGCACCTCAGGATTCCTCTGAGGTCTCCTCTGGAGATGCTGTGGTTTCTAGGAGCTCTAAGTTCACTGACTTCTTTTGGAGCTTACACTGGTGAGCACTTCGAGCTCCTTGGGCACATTTTGGAAGCTCCACCATCAGTCAAGTCTGCATTGGAAAAGGATGAAGACAAAAAAGAAACTATTCCATTAAATTTGTTGCACATCCTTCCAAAGAGTAACACTATTAAGATTATTAGCTTTGGTTTCCAGTCAGTACTCATTAACTTTCAGTGAGATGGCACTAATTTAGATTAAGTTTATTTGCTATCAAGGAAAATGGTATTAGCATTGGGCATGGGATCGTGTGGTGTCAGGAACACAGCAGTGAAAGCACTGCAAAGCTCAGCCATAGCACCCTGCCCTGCCCCCTCTGTTAGCATCTGCTCCTTTTAACCCCACGGTGCAGATGGGGAAGGAGGTCACAAATGGAGGATTTGCTTTGTTTCCAATAGAAACATCACCACAATAAATGTGAAATCTGTTTTTTGAATGCCGTTGCTTAAATGAGTTGGAGAAAATCATTTGCACAGCTGACACCAAGGTAAATCTACTTTTAACTACTGTTGCATGTTAAATAATTTGCATCCTTAATCTATTTTTTAGTGTGACCACTTTCCTCAATTTTTAATCTATTACTTGTAGAACTTACAGGACAAACAATCAAAGCATTGAAAAGAATACTTTAAAAAACTTAACGCAGCCACTGAACAGAACGTAAAGCAGCCCATCAAGGTGAGTTTTCATCTTTTCTGTGGGCTGCTTATCTTTCCAGTGTACAGCAATGAGAAATGAGAATGGGATTCACTTCACTTAGGTTTCAGATGTCTACGCTGGGCAAAACCATAGCAGATATACTTCATCCTCACGTGGGAAAAAGAGAGGGTCGTTGGGGGTGGGATTAATCTGAGCTGTTCCAGACCTCTCCCCATGTTTTGTGGCAGCCTTTGCTGGTGATGCTGATATATTTTCACTGGTTTACAGCCTACAGTTACAAATTAGGTAATTACAAATGGAGATGTCCAGAACTGTCAGATGAATCCTTCTCTAAGTGAGATTTGTTTTTGCAGAGCAGGATATATTGTTACTCAGACGTGGTATAAAAGGTATTCAGAGTAACTGTCTCTCTAGCTATTCCCCATGAACAGCTTGGACAGGGATGAATGTCCCTTTGTTACTCTCCTCTTTTAATGGGAGTGGGACTTCGCCTTCTTTTTTTTGCATAATTGGTTAAATCATTCCTCATTTCTATGCCTCTGCAGTGACTGTATCACCAAAACTCTATAACCACACAGCAGAGAACTACAGAACTAAAAGAGCATGGTCAGATATTACTAAAATAACACATCTGTGGAAAAATTGGGTTTCATAACTGAGAATATTGCAGCATTCCTGCTCAGCAAGGCTCCTGATCCAGAACAACTGGGATCAAATGCAATGCAAGGAAACCTTCACGACACGAGATGAATTTATTTACCTGTATGTTCCTTTTGAGAATCTCCCTGGTCAGCTGAACCTTCCCAGTGCTCGGATCCACTCCTGCAAGGGGCACCATGACTTCTCCAATCACATCATCTCGAGAAAAGCGATCGAAACTCAACACCAGGAAGTGAAGCACCAAATCCTGGAGCTGGCTGTAGGGAATCCCATAGAAGGTGAAGGTTTCATCAAAGACCGGATCCAACGTCTTGCGAAGCACGCGAGTCTTCACGCGATGCCTCTTGTCGGGAAGAATGGTCATCTTGATGTATGGGTCAGAGCTCTGAGTGTGCTCATCCATAACTGGCAGCCCGTGGGCCTCCTGAATGGTAACCACCAGTGCTTTTTTAGGGAAGTTGTAGTCCACTGAGAAAGTCAGCTCACCCAACAGGACGTCCTCTCCTGGAGAAGATGGTGAGGAGGTTTTACTTCCTCCTGGAGTGAGGCTTTGATCTGGGCTTAGTTCATCTCCATAATCTACTTTGATCGGAAGCTGATCAATGTGGGGAGCTGCATTTGGCCCATCTGGAGCCTTATCAGAGCCTACCAAGCCAGATTCAGCAGCATTCACTAAAAGGTTTCCCCTCCCAGTCTCCTTAGGAGCGCCATTCTTGTCTCTCCGGATTCGGTTGATTTTCTTCTTGTTACTCAAGGTCTCCGGATAGATGCTGATGCCTTTCAACATGTGAATGAATTTATACGGTGGGGTTTTGTGCTTTTTTTCTGCTTGCTGGTGACAGCATGTCCACACAAAAACTGTTACTGAGACAGAAACCACCAGAACAGTAGCACCAATGAGGCCTGCCACAACTGGAGAGACATCTGTAGGGGAGAAAGGCAGTCAAGAAAGAGCTGGAACCTCTGTGAGTGTCTGGAGTGAGCACGCTTGGACAGGGACTCTATAGCATGCTATACAATAAGCCTGGTATCAGGGTTTCCCTAGAATAAAAAGTTAACTTGTATCTCATAACTTGTATTTCTATGGACACAACACTGGTCTGGGAGTTGTCCCTTCTGAACAATTTAAACCCTGGCTAGATTACAGTTATTTTTTTTGTGGTGGGTGATGAACAAGGGACAGGGTAGGTCCATACAACACAACAATTTGAATCACGCAGGGAGATTCATTCTCCTCCACTTACTGTTCTGTTTCCCCAGCTCCCCTGGGAAATCATGTCATGCACACACAACCCACTCTGTGTCTCACCCAAAAGCTGACGTTGTTCTCTTTGACTGTTCCCCTGTGTTGCATTCTCTGCTTTTTCACCCCAGCATTACTACTTATGCTCATTCAGATTTTGATGAGCAGCTGCTGACAAAATGTTGTCCACCCCACGGTTACCAAGACTTTCTCATGTGAAAATCTGACGTTCAAAAGCAATGGATAGAATATCCTCTTTTTGTATTAAGGGATTATTTGATATTTTCTAGAGTTTATGTCAATTGGGTTCTTCAGCTATGTGAGGCCAGAACAAAAAGGCACAGTACTCATTTTTAGCAACCAAGCTCGTTATTTTCTATTTATAACCCTTGCTTTGGAGATGTATTATCAAACACCGAATGAAACCAGTAGTTTCGAGCTCCCCAGTACATTATATTGACATATTCAAGCAATTTAGTCAAGGGCCACCAAGATAATTAAAGAGCTGGAGCAGATGGAGGGTGGGGAACGGAGAGCAGATGGAATATGAGGACAGCTTGAAGGAGCTGGCTCTGCTCAGTCTTAAAAGAGAAGGAAAAGGGAGAGATCTTCTTCTTGTGCCATGAGACGTTCACGCTGTGGTCGTATCGTAACAGGGGAGAGAAGGAAGGGATCCTCAGCCCCAGCACTCCTCCTGTGGTACAGAATGCTCACAGAACTGCTCCTTCTGAAGCTCATTCCCTACACTTAGGATATGAAATTCTTCCCAATTCTCACAACGTTCCTATTTGCTGTTGGACAGTCGCCTTCTGCAACACGTTCCCGTGGCCCCTCAGAGGTGAGAAGCAATGAGGAGAAGCATGAAATTCAGTTTATTTAGGAAGTAAACAAATGGCTGTTTCTGCAGTGTTGTCTCTATAGCCTAAACATCTTAACACTAGAACGTCACTTGTCACTAAAAGCAATGGTATTTTGAAGTTTATTAAGGTATTGGTCTTGTTATTATTGTATTATTGCTTTACTAATCATTTTTCCTTTTTTTTTTCTTCTCTTCTTTAAGCAAACTAAATCCCATCTGCCCCATCTTTTTCCTCACAAGCTGCACACACTGCCTGCTTCCATAGGAGCATGGAAAGCCAAAAATTCATCATCACAAACAACAGAAAATCATCTTCTGAATTCATGCTTCAATTACAGACAACACTTGAATTTGGCACTTTCTCTGCCCTTCCTATGTTATCATTCATTAAGGCTGCGAGGCAAGAGGAAAAGATTGACAGGCTACGATCTGAGTATCTTATAGGCTCAAGGAAATCTGATTTTTCCATAACAATAAATCTCCTTCTCAAAAGAATCCCTTTGGGTTGGATGGAAGCCTTCCCTTCCTGCACCAGGATGTCTTTCAGGTGGTCACTGCCTTCATAGATGCACATCTTTGGGCCCACAGCTGCACACAGCACAGTGACCAAAGCAAGAAGCACTCCTGACAAACACTAACACACATCTCTGCTTCATTATTTCACATTCCCTCTTTGAAATGACCCAAGTGGTCTTTAAGAGCCAATCTGAACGCAGTACAATTCAGCCACATGCAGATCTTAAAAGCTTCAGAGCACATGCAGGAAAGGACAAAAGCCCAAACTCTTTTCTTATTCTGACCTCATGTTTTCTTGTGTTTTGTTCCCATTGTGTCCTCAGAGAATCAGCTCTTGTACCTTTATTTCCCAATAAACAATTTCAGCAGTCAAATCAGAAAGCACCAAACAAGCCTTTTTTTCCCCTCTCTAAATCTCCAAGCTCTTCAGTTGGCTCTCGCAGCTTCTCGTGGCAAAGAGTCTTCCAGCTTAATTAAACATGGTGGCAAAAAAACAACACCTTTTATTTCGAGCCCTTCCCCACCTTGTTTTGCTGGATGCTTCTTTCTCCATAAAAGAAAGAACACGGAACAACCAGCCCTGCTCTGCCCGCCGCACCTCTCCTCTCCTGCCTGGAGACTCCCACTTTACGTAATCCTTCCATACATCCATGAATTCTCTTTCTGTAGTTCCTCACAGCTGTGAGCTGCCTTCCAAACTCCTGGAGATGAGGTTCTGCGAGTTCACCAACAGAGAAATGCTTTGGATGTCCGTTTCATTATGTCTCTTCTCTCCAATAAAACCCCCCCAAAAAATGCACCATTTCTAGGAGATATCTTTGCTTCGACGCGATGCGAAGATCTAACTGAAACCCAAATCGATTTCCTGGCTATGGAATTACGATTTTGGTTAACGAGATATCATTGCTATCATTTTTAACACCAACATTTGCTGATTACACCCTGATGGCCGCTGCTGACCAGCGATGGCAGCCCAGAAACAGCAAGTGGAATGCAGACATTGTAGGGATGCGATGCAGGATGGATCCGCGTTATTAAGAGCTTTTCAGAACGTAAAGTTAACGCGGTAACCACGCGACAGGCCCCGGCCCCGACGGAAGGTCGGTCGGTGCTGGAGGACAGAAGGAGCAGCGATTGGGTTCTTAAGAGCTGCGGGGACCCAACGGACGGCCGCCAATCGATGGATGATGCCCCACAGCTCCCCTCCACCCCCACCTCAGCCCCTCTGCCCGCCACGGCCCCGCCGAACGCCGCTGAGGGAAGCGGGGGGGGCTGTGGTAACGGTCCGCCCCGCCCCGCCCCGCTCGGCCTTCGGTGGCGGCGCCGCAGCCCCGCGGCCCCCGGGGAGGCGCGAACAAAGGGCGGGCCGGGCGCGGCGCAGGCAGCGCGTCAAGGAGGCGCTCGGTACCGCGGCCGGGCCTCCAAAGCCGCCCTCCGCATCCACCCCGCGGCCTGCTCCGGTACCGCCGGAACGGGAAGGGTTGAAGAAGGGGGAGGAGGTTTGGGAAACGGTGGAAAGGACGGAGGAACGGGGCTCTCCGCGCGGCCGGGCCTCACTCACCGAAGCCGGGGTGGACGCTGGTGATCTCCGCCATGGTCCGCGCTGAGGCGGAATGCGGCACCCGGTGCGGAGGCGCCGCGGTACGGCCCCCGCCCGGAGGATGCTCCGCGCCCGGGATGCAGGAGCCGCCGACTGGTCCCGATCGGCGCAGGCCCCGCCCGGCCCCGCCCCGCCGCCCCGCCCCGGAGCCGCCCGGCGGTGACTCGGCAGTGGAGGCGCTGCGGCCGCGCCTCCGGGCGGCGCTGCGGGTTGCGGGGCGCGGACAGAGGCCCCGAAGGGCTGCGGGGTGTTTGTAAGGAGCCCGCGCCCCGCTCTGTGAGGGGACGGCGCTAAGCCAGCTGTTTGCGGGCGGCTTCTCCCCTCACAGCGCAGCCCCGGGGCCGAGCGCCGGGTTCTGTCGCCCTCAGCGCGGTGGCCGCGTTAAGATGGCGGCATTCGGTTCCCCCCACCTCGGGCGGCGCGGCGGGCGGCCCTCGCCCCCCAACATGGCGGTGTCTCCCCCCTCAACATGGCGGTGTCTCCCTTCCTCCCCCCCCAACATGGCGGTGTCTCCCTTCCCCTCTCCCCCCCCAACATGGCGGCCGCTCCTCAGCGCCCCAAGATGGCGGCGCGGCGCCTGCGCGCGGCCTCCGCGGCGCTTCCGCTTCCTGAGGAGCTGCAACGGGACGGAACGCGGCGGGGCCGGCGGGCGCTGCGCCGCGCTCAGCCGCTTCCCTCCCCTCTCGCAGGTGGGCGGCGGGATGGCGCTGTCGCTGAAGATGCTGCCCTGCAAGAAGCGGAGAGCGGCGGCGGCGGCGGCCGCGGGGCCTCACAGCCCGCGGGAGCGGAGCGGCAGCGGGGAGGACGGGGAACCGCCACCACCGCAACCGCCGCCGCCTCCCGCAGCCGTGTGGAGAACCGCAGCGGAGGCGCTGCCCAGAGGCGGGAGGCGGCCGGCGCCTCAGGAGGGGAACGAGGGCCGGCCCGGCGCCGCGGAGCCTTGCGCTGCTCCCCCGGAGAGCGGGGAGGAAGCGAAGCGCCTGGAAGGGGGGAAGGAAGGTGAGGAGGTGCCGTAAGGCGGGGGGTCCCGCGGGGCTGCCCGCTGTGAGGCCGTGATGGAGAACCGGGAGACCTCCTCGCCTCCTCCCGCCCTTCGCTTTCGTCCTCCTTCGCGCTGCGCTGTCTCAAAAGTTGGTTTTTCTCCCTGAAAATGTCTGAAAGCGAATGGGGAACGTCAGCAGCTCCACCACACGGAGCTTCTTCCAGACCTCCGTGCGCTCTGCTCTGCAGACCCTACGCTTCCCATCTTTAGGTTTTCCTCTCCTACGGACCTCGGGTAGCAATCACTCCCTATAATAACTTCCAAAAAAGAGATTTTTTTGTGTGTGCTGTGTGCAGTGCGTGGCTGTCCAAAGCCAGGCCTCAGCTTGGGACGGCTGTCTCACCTTTTGTTTTTCCAAAAAAATGGTCTGTGATGAACAGCGAGGCAGCACTTGTCTGACAGAGGGCTCTTTTTGCCTCTCAGGCGGTATGGAGCGTTTTAGGGAGCAGTGGGCTCAGCTGCTGAGAGCTCTGAGAGGCATTTCTGGTCATGGCGGTGCTATTTTATATCTCCAGTCTTTGTATGCTGACATAAATGCTTGGCATCTGCTTTCCCGCAGTGACTGTTCTGTTGTTTTCTTGCCCTGTCATACATTTCTGCCTCTGGGTCCAGCGAGGCTGAGGATCTGAGCCCAAAAAGAGAAGGAACTGGAGCTGTTGGTTTCTATTCTGCTCCTGAGCTGATGGCAATGCCAGCACAGAGCTGCTCTGTTGGAGGTTTATCACACACGCACACGTTTCCCGTTCTGCCTCGAGGTGTTCAGAAAGCTCCAGCTGCACTTTGTAAGCTCATCTGCTGCAAAACCTGACAGTGCTCCCTCATTACTTTGTGCAAAGCGTTGTCCTCGCTTTTGCCGCTCTGTGCGTAGCTCTCTGGTTTGACTGAGAGCTGATTTCACACTGGGAGCGGCACAGCAGTCAGCTCACAGCTGCTGTCCCATGGAAATCCTAGAGCTGTGCAGGACTGCAATGGCAGGGGAATGGAATCCATCCTTCCAGCAGCAGAATAACCTTAAATGAGCCCAGGGATGGCTGAGGTTGCAGTCAGCTGTGGTGTTCTGGCTGCCAGCATTCTATGCTGGCTGGTGAAGGAATGCCTGCCCCTCACTGTTACTTTCTGATGTTGCAGCTGTTTGTTAACATGTTTAAGGCAGGGAAAAAGGCAGATGGCTGGAGGTGAGGCTCACTTTGCTTGCGTGTGTTTCTGGCAGGAGAAATCGTGCTGCTGAAGCACTTGGGTCGTTTTCACTGCCTGGGTGGCAGAGCGTGACTCAGTACCATTGATTTAATGGATTGGAATGGGTTCTGATGAACTTTCTTAAAGTAGGAGCCTGTTAACCTTGCTCACCTGTCTCTGTGCCTGACTGCAACCTGGTGAACACTGTTCGCAGGGAAAACTCCTAAGCTGCATGCAGAGGTGGAAGCAAATGTGCAGAGAGATCTGTGTCTGACCGACAACCCATCTGCAGTGCAGGAATCTCCATCGAGGAGCAATTTGCAGCTAGCTGTTAGAAGTCCTGCTGCAATGAAGCTGTTGAAGAGCACCAGACCTGGTGAGTGGCCCCAGCAGACTAATGGGGAAAAGGAGTGTTTGGGGGCAATTTGTTCCTTTGGTTAAGCTTTGTGCACGGAACAACTTGATGTGAAGGACCCAGAACTTTGGAGGTGTGTATGCCTTGCTGAGGGCTGTTCAAGTGCAGTGTTTTTTGAATCTTTCATCCCGTGCTCTGTAACTCAGTGGCTAAATAAACCACAGGCATTCAAGTGAAACCTGCTGGAGATGATCTCTGCGTTTTTCAGTTACTCAAAGTACTGTTTTCCTTCAGAGGAAGTTTCGATTGCTTTCTTTTCTCTGAGTCAGCAAAACAACACCATTTGGGAAACATTTTAAGTCCTGGAAATTGTAACCTGCTCTTGCTGTATTGTGTCTGGGAGTTTTGATTGTTTTAATCTTGACTGCATGCTTGAAACAGCTCCTCCTGCAAGAGCATTAAGGGGCTGCTGAGACACGCCGTAAAATCAGATGTAGAAATGTCAAATGCATCGCCTTTATTTGCTTGACTGGTGTGACTCAGTGAGCTCCTCCAGAATTGGAATCCTCTGTTGGAGTTCTTATGGCCATTTCCATTTGGAAGATTTCATTATCAGCTGCTGGCAAGCTGCTACCACTTTAGTATCTACAGAATTAGTGTGCTTTGTTTCTTTTGTAAGTCGTACTGTCAGAAGCATCCTGTTTTGTTGTTTATTTTCAGAGGAGCAAGATGGAGAAGATATTGAGAGGAGGAAGAGGAGGAGGAAGGCCAACAAACGGAAAAGGGAAGGGAAAAGTCAAGAAGAAGAGAGGTCTCTGTCCTGTGATATCAAGCTAGATGATACCCTCGATCGCACCTTAGAAGATGGTGCCAAACAGCATAACCTGACAGTGGTCAATGTGAGAAATATCCTGCATGTGAGTGCCTGCAATTACTGTGCATTCATTATTTCTGCCTCATGATTCCAACTTTCACCAAAAACCTGCATCTTTTGAACAATCAGAATGTGAAGGCGACCTTTTTTTGTGTGTGTGTTCCTGTAGGAGGTGATCACCAATGAGCATGTGGTTGCCATGATGAAAGCAGCAATCAGTGAAACAGAGGATATACCTTTGTTTGTAAGTAAAAAGCTTTTTCAATTTTTTTTTCCCCTGTTGGTCTACCCAAACACACAAATTCTCCAGTCTACCCTCTTTATCTGTGGTATAGAGAGGGTGGGTAGTATCATCTCTTCCATTTCACTACCAGATTTGGCACCTGGGTGAAGCAAGTCACATTTATGAGCTTGAATTATGGAATAAAATTATTGAATCATTTTTACTTCACTCAGATCGTGTCTAAAAAGTAATGAATTCAAGGGAGAAAAGTAATGTAGTTAATAATTGCTGGGGTAAAGTTTGCAGTTGAAGAAGCTGAACACAGATGGTGGTTTTCTGTTTGAAACCTAGGAACCCAAAATGACTCGTTCCAAACTGAAAGAAGTTGTGGAGAAAGGAGTGGTAAGTTCATCACCTGCTTTAATTATTACACCTGATGCCTTTGATTGGTGGGACTTCTAAAGAAAGCATCAGGGGTGCTTTCCAGATTGGGTTGACAGAAGTTATGTGTGTGTGTTTTTGATACAACTGTGTAAAACCAATTCATTTTAGATGAGCAGAGTCAGGTCAGAGTCATATAAATATATATAATAAAATAAGTTAGTTATTGCCTCCAGAGATTCCAGGGATGGTTTATAAAGCATTTGTTCAAAGTCTGTTGTTATTTGGCTACGATGGAGAGCAAGACTTAAGCTCAGTTACTCACCTGATGTAATTGGTTGAATAAGGGATGTTTTTACTCTCTTCAGGTGATTCCAACGTGGAATATTTCTCCAATTAAGAAGGCAAATGAGGTAAAGGTAAGTGAACTACTGCTGGGAAGTTGCAGGCTGTGCTGAGACACTCTGATTAGCAGGGAGTCTTTTGGCTGGCCTCTGGGATGCTGTTAGAAAGACTCATCTAATAGTGTAGCATTGGAGTGCAGTGCTTTATATTTCCTGTTAAAAGCTGCCATGTTTCTTCTGTTGTATTGCAGCCACCTCAGTTTGTGGACATTCCTCTTGAGGAGGATGATTCCTCTGATGAAGAATACCAGCCTGATGATGAAGATGAAGATGAGACTGCAGAAGAGGTGAATGCCACTTGTGCTAAGATCTGTTCAGTATGGTGTTGTCTGCATCACTGAGGCTGCAGAACATTCTATTTTACCAAGTGAATGCTTGTAAATTACCAAGAACTTCTAGTAATCTCTCTTGAATTCTGTATTATTCCCTAAAAAAGTATCTTTGGGAAAATTAGCTGAAGTGAGGTTTGATTGTGGCATGATTGTTTGATTGCATTCTGTATCTCTTGCATGATAGAGCTTACTGGAAAGTGATGTGGAGAGCACTGCCTCCTCTCCTCGGGGAGCAAAGCGGTCCCGGACACGGCGATCATCTGATGAAGAGGGAGGAGCACTCTGTGAGGTGAGCTTAAAAGAGAATTGCTGCCTTTTTTAGAAAGAGCCTTCAGTTATTATTCCTGAATTATTAATGGAAATTACATACCTTACATACCCTGCATACCAGAGCCTTAAACCGTGGTGGCGTTACAGGTGCTGTGTAGATTTGGGGTCCCACTGCAATGGTTCCTGCATAAGGAAACTCCCCCTCTACTCAGCTCTTTTCCCCCTTTACTCAGCTCTTGTGAAGCCCCATCTGCAGTACTGTGCCCAGGCCTGGGGCCCACAGTATAAGAAGGATGTGGAGCTTTTGGAGCAGGTCCAGAGGAGAACACTAAGATGGTCAGAGGGCTGGAGCAGCTCTCCTGTGAGGAAAGGTTGAGGGAACTGGGCTTGTTTAGCTTGGAGAAGAGAAGGCTCCAGGAA